CCCGCGATGCCAGGTTGGCCTCTGTCCCAGCAGCCTCCGGGCCTGGCCCCTAGAAAGCCCAGCTGCTGGAAAAGGGAGATTCCCGAGCCTCAGCAGCCCCTAGAAGCCCAGTCCTGGGGTCTGAGGTGTGTTCTCAGTCTGTTTCCTCTTGGAAGGCCAGGACAGCCCCACCCCAAAGGAGTTCAGGTTGCACAGCCCACAAGTGAAATCAGGGCACCCCCCCCACCCGCCGGTAACCATGCTTACAAACAGAGACCCCCAAACTGTCTGTGAGCAGGGCCTAGCCAAGCCTGGCCCGTCCCCCCACTGCAGGGTCTCCAAGGGTGGCCCAGCCTGCTTAGGAGGACACCCGAGTCCTTCCCCCCCCCCCACCCTCCCACCCCGCCACCCCTACCACCCCTAGGCTGAGGCCTCAGGTGGCTTAAGGGGCCTCGCCGGGCCTAAGCTCTAGTAGCGAGAGATAGTCTCCTGAGCAGTGACACGGACCCCTCTGCTGCTTCCTTCCTCTGCCCACCCCAGAAGGTCCAGGTGGAGCTGACCGTGCTGGACTACGACAAGCTGGGCAAGAACGAGGCCATTGGGCGGGTGGCGGTGGGCACGGCGGCCGGTGGGGCTGGCCTGCGGCACTGGGCAGACATGCTTGCCAACCCCCGGAGGCCCATCGCCCAGTGGCACTCCCTGCGGCCCCCTGACCGGGTGAGACCACCGCCTGCACCCTGACCCCCAACCCCTGGCCAAGCCCTGCCCCTCCTTAAGCCTTCGCCCCCACTCACCCCTCTCTACGCCTGCCTTCTCACCCCACCATGCCAATCATGGTCACTTGGCAACTCCCTCCGTCATCTGTTATGCCAATCACGGTCATTTGCCAACTCCCCTACCACACTCGCCCACAAGTCCTAGGGGCCCCTGGGGGCAGGGGAGCAGACTCCCCCCAGCCTGGGTCCCGCCCTCTGCTTTGACAATCAATGACCCCGGCCTGTCCCCTTGACACCCAGCGCCCCTCTTCCTACCCAGGATCACCCACCCCTGTGCCCGGTGTCATTCCCGCACTGCTCCTGGGACCAAATAAATACTCAGCAACTCTGGTGGCCTGGACCAGGTGCTCCTAGGGGGAGTGGGAAGGAGGGAGGGGGCAGCCTCATCTCCTGGGCGCGGCAGGGCTGCCTTCCGCAAACACATGGAGGGACACTCACCTGCCCACGCACTCCTCATCCACACTCTCCCCACTCACCCACGCCTTTCCTCCCCTGAAACAACAGGGAGCGAGAAGGCTACGCAACTTCGCAGCGCGGCCAAGAGGGGTCACCCACTTACTCCTGAACTTGCCAGCTCCCTCGCCCATGGTTTACATAGATTTTCATACCCATGTGTCGCACCCTCTGCCTCTTCCTCCCTCCCTCCCTCCCTCTCTGCCTACCTTCCAGCACTCAGCAGTCCTCCAGGTCATCTCCACATCAGCTTTTACTGAGTGCTGGCAGCCCCCAAATAATGACGCAGACGTGGCCTCCAAGGAACTTATTCTCATCCAGGAAAGAGAGTAGTTAGGCAAAGTCTGGGAACAAAATTTCCAGAGACAGGAAGAGAGAACAAGAGCTAGGCAGGTGTAACCTCCCTCTGAGCAAATTCTGCCTCCCCGGCGGGCCCTCCCAACGGCGGTCACCTCAGTAGCTTCTCCCTCATCTCCTCCCAGGCGACATTTCAGGTGGCAGAAAAAAGTTCATGAAACTTGGCAGGACAGCTCTCTAAAGCAGCAGGGTGAGTAAAAATGCAAAACGCACTCCCACGTGAGAAGGAAAATAGCAGAGCACAAGCTTGCCTGTGAGCTTCCTGGCAGCTAAAGGGGAATCAGAAAAGTTGCACAGAGTATCACATCCATGAGATTGAAAAAAAGACTCCCATGGAATTCAGTGATTTCCAAGGGTGAGTGAATGGAGGGCGTGTTTATGAAGAGAGCACTATGTGGTATTGCTGTTGCTGCTACAGCTGCTGGTGGTGACCCTCACAGTAACCCCGTGAAACAGACGTGATTATTCGTCCCAGTTAACACCGAAGGAAATTGTGCATTAGGGAATTAATGAGGCCTGCTCAGGAGCACCTAGACAGGAAATGTCTCTAAATCCTGGGATTGGATCTGTTCTGAATCAGAGGATAATATTTGGCTCCTAGTTAGTGTCTCCACAAGAAAGCAGACTGCTGAGGGGTAACTACCATTACAAATGGCAATGGCGCCTGTGCTGGGAAAGCACCAGCAAGGGCTGAGGTAATTTAGGAAGGGTGGTCAGGGACAGGTCCCTGAAGACATATGTTTGGGCTGTGATTTGAATGATGAGAAGGAACAAGCCTTGCAAAGATGAGGGGAAATTCGATGGAATATTACTCGGTCATCAAAAGCATGGAGTCCTGATTCATGGATGGACTTTGTTTTTTGTTTTTTTTTTTTTTAATAGAGGCATGTTTTTCTTTATTTATTTGTTTGCTTGTTTGTTTTGTTTATACATGCACTGGGTATAGTCAGAAGCGCGGGAGGGTGAGAGAATTCACCAGAGCCAGAGCGAGGGGCAGAGCAGGCAGAAGGACCGAAGTACACTGCTGAGGGGAGCAGCGGGCGGCAGGAGAGGTCTGCGCGCCATGTGGGACCCTCCTCTGGTGGCCGGGGAGCAGCCGGGGATTGAACCGGCACCGCAGAGGCCGCGGGCAGCTTCGCAACCCAGCGCTCTACCGCTGCGCCACCGGGGAGGCCCTCATGGATGGACTTTGAAGACATAACTGTGAGTGCAAAGTCAGACACAGAGGCAACACACATGGGACTGCCTTTTGTGAGGTGTCCAGAAGCGACAAGTCCATTCAGATGGAACATTAAGAGTCATGGTTTCCAGAGACCTGAGAAGGGGAAATGGAGAATGACTGGTTAATGGGTTGGCTAGAAAGATCTGGAACTACCACTACAGTGGTGGTTATAGGGATGAGAGGTATTGACCTCACGGCAGGAAGCCAGGCTTGGGGATCCTGCAGATACAGGGCTGGCTGGGGAGGAACTATGATTGGCCACCCTGTTCTGCAGGGACTGCTGACCTCAGCCTTCACTTCTTTCCCAGGGCCCAGGACAGTCCCCGGGGGCAGATATGTCTCCTTGCAACCTGCCACACCCCTGCCAGCCACTAGCTGCCATCCCATTCTACAGAGCAGATAACCAAGGTGTAGAAAAGCCACTGATTGTCTAAGGTCATATAGCATGGTGGGTAGGGGAGGCAGGGGCCCCAGGTTCCTGGATACTCTGGGATGGTGCTGGGGTGACCCCAAGATGCATCTCACCTGAGTGTCTGCCCTTGTGGAATGCACAGGTAGGTTAAGTCACCTGACTTGGGCTACCCAGTCAGAAAGGATGTAGTCCACACCAAAGGTCACACCCAGAAGCCCTCCCAAATAGTGGGAGTAGTGGGAGACACAGCATGGACTGTGGCCAGCATGTGTGGCTGCTCTGCCGGGAAGACAGCAGCAGAATGCAGAGGAATCTGGGGCCGGGAGGATGGACTGGACGTCTCCGGGGGGAGGATGAGGATGATGTTCAAGGGAGGGAACAAAAAGATACAGACACGGAGGCAAGAGAGGGGTTGGCGTGTTACCCGCCCTGGCTCTCGCCAACTTTCTGGGGCCCTGCTGTGTCGTGTGCCCAAGTCTGTGGTGAAACCTCCCCACCATGCCTGAGTTCTAACTACCAAAGTGAATACAGAGGTGAGAAGAGGGGCATCCTGGCACAGCATTGTGAAATCCTAGGGCCAGCACAAAGGCCCCAACATTTAAGGCAAAGCAAGCAAAACAAACCCCAGTAATCGAGATAAATACGATTTCAATGCAATAGTTTAAAAATATATATTAATGAAAACAAAAACAACAACAACAGAGCCTCCCTGGTGGCAAAGGGTTAAAGACACAGTGCTATCAAGCTATGGGCAGTGAAGCCACTGCAGCGCGAGTTCCATCCCGGGGCAGGGAGCTGACCCACAGGGTGCAGCAGACCTCTCCTGTCTCCCCGCTGCTCCTCTCAGCAGTGGATTTCAGTCAGTCTGCCTGTTCTGTTCCCCACCCTGTCTCTGGGGAATCCTGTCACTCACCTGCACCTCTGACCTACACCCCAGTTCCTATATGCATAAATAAACAAAAATTTAAAACAAACAAACCCCACAATGAACAAAATATTGAAAGATTAAAGACAAAATTTGACCCTGCTCTCGGACAACTGGGCCTCACCCTAATCCAGGTCTTGGATCCAATAAAACTTTATTAACAAAAAACAGGCAGGTGGCCCTTGGTCCTAGTCTGTCCGTTTTATTTTATTTTTTAATTATTGCATTAAAATCATAATTCTTTCAGACAAATAAAACGAATATAAATAACCTCAAGGACATGGATGAGAGCACAGCCATGAAGCGGTGAGTTCTGAGCATGTGTTATTCTTTCACGCCAAGCAATTGGTTGCAATTTTAGTATTTTAGTAAAAGCTCGAATTTTAAGTCACGGCTGTACCAACCAGGTCACAAAATTCCTTGGAATTTTAACAAGCCGGGGCAGGGGCTGCCGCCTCCGATGCGGGGCTGGTCCCACCTGGCGGGAGTTCTGTGTCGCAGGGCCACGGTGTCGGGGCAGGGGACAGGGAGGCCGACAGAGTCCAGCCGCCTCTGATGTGGATTCACGAGATTTCCGTCCACTTCGGCCACGTTTGAGTCGGCCCAGGTCTCCCCCACCTCAGAGATTTGGACCGGCCGGCCCCGCCCCTTCCCCGCTTGGTCGGCATGACAACCGCGTCCACAAGCCCGCCTCCCGTGCGTCCCCTCGGAGTCCCATTGGCCAAAAGTTGCCGGTGGCAGGGTCGCGCTCGCTCTCATTGGTCAGCTGGTCTCGGCGGCGCCAGCCCCTGTGCTCCCATTGGCTGATCGATCGAAAAGGGCGGGGGCTTTGGGCAGCAGTTGCGCGGGGGGGTGCGGACCGCCGCGCAGCACCCACCCCACTGGCAGGTAGCGGACGCCCCGGGAGACTTGGAAGGATGAAGTTGGGGCTGAGGGGCGGGGGGTGTCGGTGGAGGGAGGGGGCGTGGAGTCCGGGGCGTGAGAGGGGAGTGGGGCGGGCGCGGCGCACGCGAGGCTTGGGGACCCCCAGGATGTGTGTCCCGCAGGGCGATGACCACCCCGGCGGGCTCGGGCACGGGCTTCGGCTCCGTGTCGTGGTGGGGCCTGTCCCCGGCGCTGGACCTGCAGGCCGAGAGTGAGTCCCCCGCTCCGGACCACGGTCATCCGACGCGGGGCTGCCCACACGGCCCGGCCGGCCGCGCGCTCACGTTCTCTGAGGCCCAACGGCGGGGGCGCTGCCCCGCGCGGGCAGCCCAGGCGGCCCCCCTGCACCACGGGCCCCGGGTGCCGAGAGGCGCAGCTCCCTTTGGAAGTGCAGCCGGACTGGAGCCCTTGGCGGGTCGCGGCCCTGGCGCTGGGCCGGCCGCAGAGGCCCTGCAGGTCACCAGGTGGCGGCTGTCCTCTGCCAGGTCCTCCTGCGGACCCAGGCTCTCAGGCGGACAGCGAGCGCGGGACCCCCGAGCTAGACGTGCTGCTGCTGGGCTCCGTGGATGGGCGGCACCTGCTGCGGACCCTGGCCCGGGCGGCCCTCTGGCCCCGCAGGAGGGTCAACGTGAGCTGGGGTTTGGGGTCACAGGAGGAGGACAGCCCAGGTCCCTGAGTCCTTGGAGGAGGAGGGAGCCTGGAGGCCCGGACTCTTAGGTCTGGAGCTGGGCACCCAGACTCCTGGGCCCTGGGGAGGAGGAGGCTGGGTTTGGGGACCCTTGGGTTCCAATGGGAGAAAGAGCCTCGGAACCAGGTCCTGAGTGACGGTGGGGAGGAGGGTTCAGGGCTTTGAAGGGGAAGGCCCGTGCACTCCTGTGGAAGGGGGGTGAAGTCTCCTGCTCCTGGGTCTCCCCAGGGCACAGTCCTCAGCCTGGGCCCTGTCTGTCCCTCCAGTTCTATGTGCTGGAGAATAATCTGGAAGCTGTGGCCCGACACATGCTAATTTTCAGCCTGGCGCTGGAAGAACCTGAGAAAATGGGGCTGCAAGGTCAGTTGCAGGCACCCAGGCATCTGGCCCCAGCCAGGCATCTCCCCCAGGCACCTCCCTGCCCGCCCCAGGGGTTCTGGCATCGCAAGGGGACAGTTCAGCTTTTGGGTCGTCGTGCCCAATGTATCACTTGCTTACTTGTCTGGTAGCTTTAGAACCTCAGCTGTCCCCGCCATCTGTCCGTCTGCCTCGCTCTCTCTGTCACGCGTGTGTATGTGACTTGTTTTTTTAGGGCGGGGAATGTGGGAGTGGAGGCCTCGGAGGGCTGTGATTTTTCATGTGCCAGCTACCGGGATGGGAGGGGAGCTTGCGGGGCCGTCTCCGGGCTCACCTCTCTGCTCCCCACCCCACCCGCGCCGCAGAGAGGAGCGAGACCCTCCTGGAGGTGTGGGGGAACGCGCTGCTGCGCCCCGCGGTGGCCGCCTTCGTGAGCGCCCAGGCCGTCGCCCTGGCGCGCCTGGTCCCCGAGCCCGACCGCCTGGCGGAGCAGCTGCCCTGGCTCAGCCTGGGTGCCCTCAAGGTGCCGCCGCCCGCCCCGTCCGTCGCCGTCTGGGGTCGGGTGGCGGCGGGAAGGGGGGAAGCAGGCGGTGCCAGAGTTTGCGTCGATGGCGCCACGAAAGGGGTGGGGGCTCGAGGGTTGGGACCCCGGCTCCCCAGCTCCCACGGTGGGGTTTGCCCGGGGCGGGGGCGGCTTCTGCTCTTTGCGCCTCGATTTCCTCGAGCGGGAAACGCGAGCCTTGCGCCGGTGCCCGGGGCGCGGGGAGGGGCAGCAGGAGCCACGCGCCCCTCACCGCCCGCGCGGGCCTCTCCCCGCGGCTCTGCCGCCGCAGTTCCGCGAGCGCGACGCCCTGGAGGCCGTGTTCCGCTTCTGGGCCTCCGGGGAGAAGGGCCCCGCGGCCTTCCCCGTGAGCCGCCTCTGGGACTCGCGGCTGCGCCACTACCTGGGCTCGCGCTACGACGCCCGGCGCGGCGTCAGCGACTGGGACCTGCACATGAAGCTGCACGAGCGCGGGGTGAGCCGCCGGGCGCGGGCCGGGCGGGGGTGGGCGCGGGCCACGCGCCAGCTTCAGGGGCTCCCGCCCGCAGGCCCGAGTCATCCACACGCGCGAGTTTCGGCGCTGGAGGGACACCGGCGTCGCCTTCGAGCTCAGGGACGCGGGCGCCTACCACGTGCCCAACCGCACCCTGGCGTCGGGCCGCCTCCTGAGCCACGTGCGTATCCACCCCTGCCCGGGCCCCCGCTCCTCTCCTGGGGTTCAGGAATTGGGGTCCCCACGTCGTCCTCACCCGCCGCCTCTCTCCCTGACTGCCCAGCGAGGGGAGCGCGTGGCAGCGCGAGGGTACTGGGGGGACATCGCCACGGGGCCCTTCGTGGCCTTCGGCATCGAAGCGGATGATGAGAGCCTCCTGCGGACCAGCAACGGGCAGCCTGTCAAGGTGCGAGGGGGGACCCCCGGGGCGCGGGGAGGGGGCAGGTAGGCGAGGCCCCGCCCCCGGCCCCGCCTCACCCAGGAGGCCCCGCCCCCCGCTTCCCCAACCCTCCAGCTCCTACCGGCCTCCGGACGCCTGCGCTGGGTGGGAGAGCCGGCCGGTGGGGGCTGCTATGCGCCTGCCACGTGCCCCCCTCCCGCCAGACTGCAGGCGAGATCACACAGCACAACGTGACGCGGCTGCTCCAGGAGGTGGCCGCCCGCCCCCGGGGCAATCCCCAGCAGGTGCCCGCGCCCCTGGACGGAAGCCCGGAGCCTGGTAGGCGGACCAAGCCCTCCCCCAAGACAGGGTGAATTATACCTCGTCCTCCACTGGAGGGTGGGCCGGTCCCCGCTGGGCGCAGGCCCCGGGATTGCAGGTCCAGTGGGGACTGACAGCTGCCACACCTCCCTCTCCTGCGCTCCCCCCCCCGTGTTCCCCTCCCTTTCCCGCACCCTGAAACCGCCAGCACGGGGGACTGCGGTGGCGGGGTAGGAATCCATTCCGCGGGAGGCGGGTGGCTGAGAACTTCCCCACGTGGTGCGGGCCGGCTCACCATTGGCGAGACCCGGCGCCCTGGTCCCCGCGACCCTGCAGGCCTGCCGGCCCTCCGGGCGCCCTCTGCGGCCTGGGCCCTCACTCCCTTCCCCTCTCCCGGTCACGGCTGCCGGTTTGTGAACGGGCGTCTGTCAGCCAGGCCGACGGCCCCTCGCTTGTCCGGGAATCTGCCCAAGAGAGAGCGGGAGAGGGTGTCAGGGCAGGAGTGCTGGCCCCAGGTCTGCGTCTGCCTAATTCCGCCGTCTTCTCCTGCAGCCGCCGCCCCCGAACTCTTCGCTGTGCGCTTCCTGCCCCTCGGCTCTGCCCAGACTCTGCACCACAAGCGCTGCTACAAGGGGCGGTTCCAGCTTCTTTATGTGGCCTGTGGGTAAGAGGATCCGGAGGAGTTACTGGCCGTCCGAGGCCTCCTCCCCCAGCCCCGGGGGCCAGGCCCGGGCCTCCTCCCCAGGCCCAGATCCCAGACCCCCGCTTCCTCCCTGAGACTCGGCTGCAAGCGGGTGCGGCCCCCAGGCGCCTGTCTCTCCTGGCAGGATGGTCCATCTTCTGAGCCCCGAGCTCGGGGCCTGCGTGGCCCCGGGAGGACGCCTGGTCGTGGAGTTGGCGCGGTGAGTCTGCGGCGCGCAGAGCGGGGACCTCGGGCAGGCGCCGAGCCGGGCCGCTAACGCCGACCGCGCTGCGTTCCAGGTACCTGGTGGACCTGCGGCCCGAGCAGCTGCAGGAGTTCTCCGCCCGGGCGGCGGAGCTCGCGCAGGCAGCTGGGTTTGCCCCACTGCCCGGAGCCAAGTCCTCGGAGACCTTCTTGCGCTTCTGCAAGTCTGGGGGCTCCGCTCCGGGCCCAGTTGTGCCAGCTGCGGAGTCCTGCGCTGCGCCCGGTGAAGGCCTGGCCCCGCCCCCAGACGCCCTGGCCCCGCCCCCCGAAGCCTCGGCCCCGCCCCCGGAGGCCCACGAGGCCCCTCCTCCCGAGGGCCGGGCCCCGCCCCCTGAGCCGCTCCAGCCCACGCCGCGGTCCTCACCCTGCGAGGTTCTGGCTCCGCTCCCCGAGGCTTTGGCCCCGCCTGCAGAGCATCAGGCCCCAAAACCAGCGAGTCTGCAGGGACCCGCAGGGACTGAGTCCCCCGCATCTGACTTCTAAACGCAGGTCCCCGGGCCTGAGCCCGCCCCTCCGATCCCCAGCTGTGCGCCCCGCATTCTCGCTCAGACCCAGAGGGGCAGCTAGCGTTTCAGACTCGGCCCTGGGAGTCCGTACTCCGCCCCTCGGAGCTCTGAATTCCGCTCCTGAGACGCCGGACCCGGCCGAGCCCCCTCCCCGGCCTCTGCGTGGCCCCTGCCCCCGGCGCCCCTTGCGGTCCCCCGGGGCCGCCACCCCGCGCGCAGTAAAGAGCTTGGGTTCTCCTCCGCGCGTCCTTGTGTCTTTCCTGCCCTCGGCGGGCTCCTGCTGCGGGGGGCAGGGGCAGGAGCGGCCGAGAGGCGCCGGACACCAGGTTTCTGCGTCCCAGGCGGGCTAGTGCCCTTCTGCCTGTGGCGGCGCGGGGCCCCCCGTCCGGACCCCCGAGAACGCGCACAGCTCAGCGGCTGCCAGGGGCGGGCATGGGACGGGGAAGACAAGGCCCGGTCGTCTGAGATGCTAGTCAGTGAGAGGATCCGGCCACATCCCCTCCGAGGGAGGGAGGACTCGGGGTGCCGGGGCTCCAGTGCCGGGCAGGGCCGGATGTCCAGGTCCCCAGCGTGCAGGGGTGATCCAGCTGGAGCAGCGCCTGTCCTGGCTCACGCGCCCCTTATCTCCCCTCGTGGCAGGGGGAGGAGGCAGCGGCTGTATATTTAGTCTCGTCCTCGCCCTTGATCTCAGTGTCCCCAGGGAGGTTCGAGGAGCCCGGGTGAGACCGGAGTCCCAGGACCTTCAAGGTCACGGAGGACGCCCCCCGCGGAGGGTCCTAGAGCCCCGGCCCCCTTCGCTGCCGCCCAGCTCTCCGGCGCGAGGCCCAGCATGGCGGACGAGTGAGCGCAGCCGGGAACGGGGCTCCCGAGGCTGGGGCGGCGGGAGGCGGGCGGGCCATCTCCGCGCCTGAGAAGGGATGGGAGGCGGGGACAGGTCCCGGCTGCGGGCGTCAGGGGAGAGCGCGAGGGGCCAGCTTCCCGCGCCCGCGGCAGGGGCAGCTGGGGCCGGGGCCCTGCGTCCGCAGTGACCCCTTCCCGGTCTCTCCCCGCAGGAGCAGAGAAGCGGTGAGCGCAGGCGCCGGCCGGACCGGCGGGGCCGGGGGGCTCCGCGGCGGCCCCGGGGCGGGAGCTGCCCGCCCAGGAGAGGGGCTGGGTGGGTGCCGGTGGTGATGAGGCCGCGCTCCCCCGCGCCGGCTCCGGTGCGTCGGCCGACCACCGCGCCGCGCCACGGAGCCGCTCGCCAAGGCGGGGGCGCGGCCGCCCGACGGCGCGACCCGGACGCGGCCTCCAGGTCCGGAGTCGGGTCGCAGGGGGACCAGCGCCCGCGAGGAGGGCGGGGCCAGAGCCCTCGAAGGGGCGGGGCTCTGTGGTGGGCGGGGCCAGCCGCTGGGCCCTCGGGGGCGGGGTTCTCACGGGGCCGGGCTCTGATTGGTGAGAGCTGCCTCTGGGCGGAGTTTCGTTGCCCGCAGGACCTGTGATTGATGGGGTGGGCGGAACCTGGTCAGAACCGGAGGCCCAGATTGGCAGGTGGCGCTGAGGGGCGTGGCTTCACGGAGACGCGGCGCGGGAGTTGGAGCGGCGCCCAGGCCGAACCTGACCCGACCGGGTGGGTTCCAAAGCCTCCCGCGCTCCTCCGGAGCCACCACCTCCTTGACTCCTCCTCGCTCCCTCTCACCGGCAGAAAAAGTCCAAGATCTCCGCCTCAAGGAAGCTGCAGCTGAAGGTCAGAGGCGGCCGGGCGCCCGGGGGGCGGGGTTTCGAGGCTGGGGCGGGACCGCTGGCTGCGAGTGGGCGGGGCTGGGACAGTCGGGGGTGGGGGCGGGGCTTTGGAATTCTGGGCGCCCGCCGGGGTGGGGGGCGTCTCTGGGAGCCCCGGGACCCCGTCTGGAAAGGCGCAGGCGGCTGGCGTCGCGTGTCCCTGGCGCCCCGCGGTCTTCACCCCCCCATGAACTGCGCCCTCCGCAGAGCCTGATGCTGCAGGTGGCGAAGCAGGAGCTGGAGCGGGAGGCGGAGGAGCGGCGCGGGGAGAAAGGGCGCGCTCTGAGCGCGCGGTGCGAGCCTCTGGAGCTGGCCGGGCTGGGCGTCGCCGAGCTGCAGGTATCGGACTCCTACTCCTGCCCGGCCTGCCGTCCGGGGCTCCGACTGTGCGGTCGTGCGTCTTTGGGACTCAGGCGTCGTCACCGACTGCGCCCTCCCCCAAGGACCTTGCGGCCCAAGATCCCGGTCCTTATCCTCAGGTGCTCAGACACCTCCCTGCCCTCTCCAAACCCAGAGGCCAGCTCCCCAGCCCTGATTCCTCAGACTCTTAGCACCCCGGCTCCTGGACCCCTTTCTTTGCATTTGTCCAGAGTCCAGCTCCAATGTGCTCCCCTGGGATCAGTGCCCAGACCCCGTCCCTCCTCCCTCAGACCCAGGAGCCTGGGTCCCTGGTCTTCCCCACCACACCACGGCACCCCTTCTCCAGGACTTGTGCCGGCAGCTGCACGCCCGCGTGGACAAGGTGGACGAGGAGAGATACGACGTGGAGGCGAAAGTCACCAAGAACGTCTCGGAGGTGGGGGAACCGGCAGCTGGCGCCCCTTGCAGCAACTTGGGGTGGGGGGCAGGGTCCTGAGGCTCTAGGGCCACCTGGGGGGGGGGTGGATCTGGCCAAGGAACGCTGTTCCAGGCAGAACCAGCAGCAAGTGCAAAACCCAGAGCTGGGCTGGCAGAGCGTGTTTGGGGTGGTGGCCATCGAGCTCAGGTGTGGGCAGGAACCGCCACGGGGCAGTGGTCTTCACAGGTGAGGTGGGGGAGGTCTGAGGGTTCCGGTTAGGGGATGAGGAGTTTGGAGTTTGTCCCGAGGTGGTGGGCGCCCTCGCGAAGGAGGGTCTTGGAGGGGCCGGGGGAGAGCTAGGAGGGCAGGGCGGAGGGGAGAGCAGGAGAGGGGGGCAGCGGCGGGCGGGGTCCCCACCTCCCCCATGGCACCCCAGATCGCAGATCTGACCCAGAAGATCTTGGATCTCCGCGGCAAGTTTAAGCGGCCCACGCTGCGGAGGGTGCGCATCTCCGCGGACGCCATGATGCAGGCGCTGCTGGGGACCCGGGCCAAGGAGTCCCTGGACCTGCGCGCCAACCTCAAGCAGGTGAAGAAGGAGGACACGGAGAAGGTGAGTGCGGCGGGCCGGGAGGGGGTGCTCGGGTGGGGCCGGCCCGGTGGAGCCAGCCCCAGGGCGGAAGCGCTGGAGGGACGCAGATGCCTGGGGCAAACGGGAGGAGAGGGCTGGGGCCCAGGACCTCTTCCAGAGCCACACCTGATAGGCTCCTGGCAGGCGGGCCGGGCAGGGGAGAGCAGGGGGCCCCTGACCCCGGCCTCGCTCCCCAGGAGAACCGGGAGGTGGGAGACTGGCGCAAGAACATCGACGCGCTGAGCGGCATGGAGGGCCGCAAGAAGAAGTTCGAGGGGTCCGGCCAGGCCTGAGGAATAAAGCTTCTCTCTGAGCTGGAGCGGGTGTGCGTCTGCTCCTTGGCGGGCAGGGGGGGTGACTTGGGTACACAAGAACCAGGAGAGTCAAGGGCACGGCACCCCCAAAGCCACAGACTTCGGGGGATGTTCCCCACTCCCCTGCCCCAGGTGGGGGCGCACAGGGGTGCCGCAGCACGGCCCATGAACACAGACAGGGAGAGCCAGAGGCCCCGAGAGAGGGGCCGTGGTGCGAAGAAAGGGGAAGCGGAGGGCAGAGAAACGCAAACGGAGGCCCCAAGACCCCAGGAGGGGGAAGCACAGAGGGCCCCAGAAAGAGCTAGAGAGAGTCAGACCCAAGGGAGACAGGAACACAAAGGCTAGGATCCTGCCAGAGGGTGAGGATCAGGGTTAGGGTTGCAGGGAGACACCCACGGAATGCAGGGACTAAGGGGGGGGCACGGAGACGCCCTGCCCCACCGACATGGGCAGAAACGGAGCAGGGTGGGGGGGAGGAGGGGGAGACGCTGGGCGGAGGAGCGGGGTCCCCTTGGCGCCCCAGAGGACAGGTCGTGCTTGGATGGGAGGGGGGAGGCGCACAATGAAGGATCCCTGTCCTTTGGAGGTGGGGGTGTGCGGTCTCCCCCACAAGCACACCTGCTCCCCAGCTTTAGGGCCTGTTGTCACCAGAGCGGAATCTGGCGGCAGACAAAGGGGTGGGGCGGGGAGGGGGAGACAGGGAGATGGACAGAGACAGACGGGGCGTCTGAGCAGCAGGACCGACACCCACAGATGGCAAGAGATGAGACAGGTGGGAGGGACGGACACCCAGAAAAGGGGGGCGAGGGTCCCTCTTCCCTCCGCTCAACGGGCGTTGTCTAGAGACCTACTGTGTGCGGAGCCCGGGACTCCACCCCGAGCCCCCGGGGCGGCGGCGAAGGCGGGGCCCGAGGCGGTGGGGTGGGGAGGGCGTGGCCGAGCAGCCCCGCCGCCGGGGTCGGGCTCGGGAGCGGGGATCCCCTCCCCTCTCGGGGGCGGCGCCGAGCCCGGGGCTATAAGCGCGGGGCTCCGACCCCCGCCGCCCGCGCCGCGCCGCCCCTCTGCAGACCCGACCGCAGGTAGCGGCCGCCCTCCCGGGACGGCGCCCTTGGGGAGGCCGGAGGGGCCAGGCTGAGGGGGACTCTGGGGAGTGACGGTCTGTGCGTTTGGGAGGCGAGTCGGGACGCTGCGGCTGGAGGGTGGCGGAAGGAAGGGAAAGTATTAGGATGGGGGGTCCACAGGATCTGGGGTGCTAGGATTTGGAAGTTTCAGAATGTAGCACCTTAGGACCTCGGGGGGCCGCGTCTGTGGGAATCTCAGAAATGGGGGGCAACCTGGGCTCGGGTTAACAGGACCCGGGATGGGGCGCGGGTGCTCACGTGCTTAGAACCGAGGTCTCAGCCTCTAGGTCTCCTGGGTGGTATTAGAACTTGCAGTTCACATTCGGGGTGTAATGAATTGGGCCTCCGAGTTTGGGTATCAAGACCCTAGGCTGTCCTGGCCCACGGTCTGGATTTCAGAATGGGGGGGGGGGCTTAGAATCAGGATCTGTGAGGACTGGCTGGACCTTGAAACCGGGGTATCATAACTTGGGGTCCCGGGATTTGGGGGGGCTTTTAACCTGGGCACCGTGGGATGTGGGGAATCTCAGAAACTGGGGACCTAAGTATTTGGGGGTCAGGATGAGGTCAGGGGACAAAAGCGCTCTAGAGAAGTCCTGCCCCACCCCCGCCCCGCCCCGCCCATGGCTGCCAGAAGGCGATGGGGGGAGACAGGTGGACGGATTCCACACACAGAGGAGGGGAGGGCTTGGGCTGGGTGGGGGTGGTGGCAGGTGTGGCTAATTCTCCACCCCCCCAAATCCCTCCTTAGATGTTCTCTCTTTCACTGTCTGCGACATCCCCCCAAAATAGCCCCTGGGAGTGGGGCAGCTATTGTCCTCGGCTGCTGTCCCGTCCAACACCTCCTAATCCCAGCTCCGGTCAGCTTCCCACAAAGCTGGGGCCAGACGAGAAGACAGCTGGGGGTGGGGGTGGGGGTGGGGTGCGGCCTGTGCCCAGGTTCCTTTAGGGCTCCAGCCCCTTCTCCTGCACCCCTCCCCACTCCCTTGTCCCTGGTCCTCAGGCCCCACCAGGATGTCGGACTCGGAAGACCAGGACTATGAGTGAGTGACCCCCAGGAGGGCCGGGCCTGGGCCTGGGCCGCGCGTCCTCCCGCGCCTAGAGCCCTCTCCTTCCCACCCCGCCCCCAGGGAGCAGCTGGCAGGTGAGTGGACAGCGCGCTGGCCTTAGGGGCCGAGGGACCCCCGCGGATCTTTGCCAAGGGAGCCGTTGCGGGACCTTCCCGGTGCGGGAGCCGGTGGAGCCATAAGTACCTCTCCAGGACCCTCTCCCCGCGCCCCAGGGCAGCTGAGGCCCAGAGGGGCGCCCGGCCTGAACCCTGCGCCGCGTCCCCACGCCCCCCGCGAAGACGCCCTGCCCGCTCTCTCTTCTCCTCCCCCTGCAGAGGCGGAGGCTGCCGAGGAGGAGGAGGAGGAGGAGGAGTATGAGGAGGAAGGTGCGTGCGGGCCGCGCAGGTCTGGAGCTGGACCCCGCAGGCCGAGGGCCCGGCCCGGCGGCGGTGGGGGCCGGGGCCGGGGCGGGCGGGGCCGGGCGGGGCTCGCAGGCCCCCCCGCAGCTGCTTTCACCGCGCCCCCCTCTCTCCTCCCAACCCCCGTCCTGGCTTCTCCTCCGCCCCCTTCCCAGCCCCCGAGGAGCCGAAGCCGGTGGCAGAGCGAGGTAACCGCGGCTGCTTCGCTTCCCGAGATGGATTTCGCGGGCGGGGAAGACCCGGGCATCCTCGGGGCGCCCATTCCTCGAGGATTCGGGCCACGCCCCCCCCCCCCCGGTCCTTTAAGCCCCGCGCGCCCGCGCGCCCTCTGGTGGCCGCGAAGGGAATCGCCCGCGGCGGCTCAACCCGATCCCTTCCTCCTCAAAAGGGCCGACCCCCCCCCCCCCCCCCGGCCGCCCCCCGCACCTCCCCCGGGCCGCCCCCCGCACCTCCCCCGGGCCGGGGAAGGGTCGCTTGTTCGCGGAGAGGCTCCGCGCCCCTCCTTCGTCGCCCCCGACTCTGTTATCCACCCCCCCATACATTCAAAGGTTGGGGCCTGGGTTGCAGGAGGGGCTGTGCTGGGAGTCTGGATTTGCGGGTCCCCAAAGGAGCGCAGGCTGGGGACGCAGCTCCTGGGGGCCTGGATGAAGAGAGGCCTTGGGGACCCCCTGCACTGCGAGGTGTTGATGGACGAGGGCAGGCTTCTGGGTGCAGAGAAGGAGGAGAGTCAGAGGCTCTGGACTCCGGGGTTCCTGGAAAAGTGGGAGGGGTGCCCACACCCGCTCTGAATGTGTATCTCACGTGTCACCCTCCTTCTCCTGACTTCCAGTCTTCCCGTAACTCCCCCAGCCCCTCCCTGACAGCAACAGGAGGGGAAACTGGGTTCCTGGGGGCAGAGGTCTGGGGGTGTCAGGCCCACCCCACCAACTCTCACTAATTTTCTCTTTGTGTCCCCCCCACTAGAAGAGGAGCGCCCCAAGCCAAGGTGAGATCCTAAGTGTGTCTCCTGCCCCCGGAGGTGGGCACAGAAAGGCGAGAGGGAGAGGGGAGGTTGAGGCAGAGCAAGGACAGAGTCCTCCTGGCTGCAAAGATTCCCCGGGAACTCCTCACCGCGTGGGGAGCACCGGGAACAGGGATGCAGCCCCCGGCAGCCAAGGAAGGCTTCCCAGGGGAGGCGGTGCCTGCACCCTGAGGAGGAGGCCTTGGCTGGCTGAGGGGCACAGGAGGGGCAGCGTGGACGTTGGTCATGAGTGTCCCGTGAGCTGAGGGCAAACTGGAAGGGGCTCCTGAGGGCAGGGGAGACGGAGGGGACAGAGCTGGCACAGTCAGAGAAGCGGGAGGCAAGTCAAGAGAAGACGCTGTCTTTGAAACCAAAGACAGGGAGAATTCCTGGGGAGTTCCCCCCCCAAGCTAGGAGGGGCCGGGCATACAAATCAAAGGCGACTCGCAGGTGCAACTAAATTTTTCTCTAGCTGCATCTTAGAAAGCGAAACAGACAAGATCGTAAGCATGTTATGCCGCCATTACATGCGGAGCCCCTTCACTCCCGGGCACCAGTACAGGGCGGGGGACAGTGCCCACCTCACGCCCCGCCTGTCAGTCCTGCAGCTGGTGACTGGGCCCCGACGTGGCCCCGGGGTCCACGCACGGTCTCTCTTCTCTTTCCAAGCAGCCGCTCCCTGGTAGCCCCGCTGATCCCCCCCAAGATCCCAGAAGGGGAGCGCGTGGACTTCGACGTGAGTAACAGACCTCCCTCCCCTCGTGGGAAGAGGAGCCCCATGGCATAGGGAGCGCGTGTGCAGAGCCCACCCGAGGCTCCCGCCGTGCTTGTCCACCCACTGCTGGCTGCGCCCTGGACCACAGCCCGCCTCTGCCCCGGGCCAAGGCCGCGCGCCTGCAAGGGCGCCCCCCGCTGACGGTCGTCCCGGCGCAGGGCGGTGGGCAGGCGGGTACCTCGCGCCCTCTGTCCGGCAGGACATCCACCGCAAGCGCATGGAGAAGGACCTGCTGGAGCTGCAGACGCTCATTGACGTGCACTTCGAGCAGCGGAAGAGGGAGGAGGAGGAGCTGATCGCGCTGAAAGAGCGCATCGTGCGTGTGCGGGGTGGCTCCCCGCATTCTGCCCTTCCCCTCGCTCCTGCGTGGGCCCTGGGCCGTGGGGGGCTGGTTCCCCTCCGGGCGGATCCGAGGCTGAGACTCTGGGGAACGATGGAGCCCAGTCTGTGGCCACACTCAAAAGGGCTCATCTGCTTGTGGATGGACTTTGGGGAGCGTGCAGGGCAGGGGTGGTGGTCCCGCACCCCCTCACTTGCCTTCCTTGCCCAGGAGCGGCGCCGAGCGGAGAGAGCCGAGCAGCAGCGCTTCAGAACAGAGAAGGAGCGGGAGCGCCAGGCTAAGCTAGCGGTGACTGCACCCTCCCCTGGGTCCCCCTGCTGCTTCCCAGATGGACGTCTCTCTCCTGCGGGGCGACGTTCTCTGTGGTCCCAGCAAAGTCCTCGCGCTGGATTACTCGAGGCGCTTTCTGTTGGGCGGGTCCAAAACTCCCACTAACCGGGCTCAGCAGAAAGAGAGCTCTGTTGGCTCACATACCTAACAAGCCTCGGGCACAGGCTGCTTCAGGCACGGCTGGATCAAGGGGCTCGGATGTAGCCTTGCGTCACGCATTGCAGCCCCTCTCTCAGGCCCTGGAGGGGGTGGGGAAGGCCTCTGAGTCAGCCCCTTCCTTCCACAGGAGGAGAAAATGCGGAAGGAGGAGGAGGAGGCCAAGAAGCGGGCTGAGGACGAAGCCAAAAAGAAGAAGGTTCTGTCTAACATGGGGGCCCACTTCGGGGGCTACCTGGTCAAGGTGAGCTCTGTCTCTGAGGCCCGAGGTCTGGCTCCCAGGGCGGGCACAGCTGGGAGCCTGGACCCCTGAGTCTGAGGGAGGAGGTGCGGGGCAGGAGGGCCTGAGGGGGCTGCAGAGCGCTCTGGGCTGACAGGGGAGTCCTGGAGGACCAGTCACCCAGTCAGGGTGCTCCTTCCCTCCCTTAGGCCGAACAAAAGCGGGGCAAGCGCCAGACAGGGCGGGAAATGAAACTGCGCATCCTGTCCGATCGCAAGAAGCCTCTCAACATCGACTACATGGGGGAGGATCAGCTCCGGTAGGTGGGGCTGGAGGGGCTGGGGCTGAGCTAAGGGGACCCTCACCCCGATCGACTAGGCGGGCAGGAGCCCATGTGCACCCCGTGCTGTGTGACTCTGGGTCAGCGTCTCTCCCTCTCCGGACCCCTGTGGCTCCTCTGGGAAATGCGTCCCTGAGGCAGGCTGGCCTTTGGTGGGGGGGGGGGGGCAGAGACCTGTGACTCTGAGAGGCGGTGCTCTGGGCGGGCAGCCCCAGGCCTCAGGGACTGTCGGAGGCTGAGTGATTCCGGAGGGAGCTCGGGAAGGGCCCGTTGTTCACCTGAACCAACACCAAACAGGCTAGAGGGAATTTTCCAGCGAGCCTTTCCCTGGTAGGACTCCCTGCCCCCTTCCCCCCTCATGCCGGGACAGTGATAGGAAGTGGAACTCAAATTCTGAGGTCACGTGCTCGGGGCTCGGGGCCACTTCACCTCTTACTAGCTGTGTGGTCTTAGGGTTGATTCATCTTTCCGGGCCCCGCTTTCCTCATTGGTAAAGCGAGCAAGTGATGAGACAATCACGCCCACATTCTGAGAGGCGCCTGAGACCACGATAGAGTGGTCTCCCCTTGGAGAATGAACAGCCCTGTGAGACAGACACATTATCTTCCTCACATTCGAGGTGAGGCTCAGAGAGGTTCAGTAAGCTTCCCAAGGCTGTACAGCCTGCGCGTGGAGGAGCTGGGATTTGAGCAAAGTCCCTGGGAGTCTGGTGAGCGGCGATGGTAATTGTTTAATGGCTGCCTCTCCGGGGCAAAATGGCCAGGTTCTCACATGTGCCCACTTCCAGGGCAGGAATCCTTCCGCATTCATACCACCAGCATGAGGTCACTGCTCGCCCTCCCTCAGGGCACACAATTGCAGGACTTGGCACAAAATAACAGGCAGTGGCTGTTCATCTTCCCCATTTCTTCTGTCCCTGTCCCCTGCTTCACATACCACTCATGATTTGGACCCAGTGGTATTTTTTGAGGCTCTCCAGGTACCTAAATGCTATTTATTTATTTAAGATTTATTTAGACAAGAACCGGGGTACAGGCCAGATGTACGGGAGGGTGAGAGGATTCACCAGAGACAGAGCGGGGAACAGAACAGGCAGACTGAAGAAATACACTGCTGAGGGGAGCAGCGGGGAGACAGGAGAGGTCTGCTGCGCCATGTGGGTTGCTCCGCGGCCTGCGGGGAACAAACTGGCGCTGCAGAGGCTGCGGACAGCTTCACAGCATTGCGCTCAACCGCCTGAGCCACCAGGGAGGCCCCATTTCTGTTTCTTCTAAGGAAGAAAGGCAGGAGGGATATTGAGCAGGGCACCAGCCATCTCTTTCAGTTTTATTTTCCAGGTTTCTTTTGGAGAGGGATCGGGATCCCAGGGGAAGTGGCTCGACCATACGCTCAAACCAGAGACTAGAGAAGCTGGGGTTTGAACCAAAGCTTTGGTCTTAACCATGATCTCTCTTAAGGAAATGTGAAGTCTCCATATGGGACATGGACGAAATAGGCAGAGATTAAAAAACCCTTCTCTTGGACCCATTTAGGGTATTTTGCCCTCAGATATTAACCAAATGGCAGCCATCATGAAATCACACCCAAATCAGAGACTTGCTGTGTGGCTGCAGGCAGTTTCCTCAACCTCTCTGGGCCACGGGCAGGGCCTGCCTTCCCTTCATATCAGTCCTTGCGCCCTGTCAGGGAGAAGGCCCAGGAGCTGTTGGACTGGATCCATCAGCTGGAGTCAGAGAAGTTTGACCTGATGGAGAAGATGAAGCAGCAGAAATATGAGGTGAGCCTTGTCTCCACTGGAGGCCCAGGCCCAGTGGGGACAGAGCAGGCCGGGGTACTGGCTTGTTCCCCAGGATGTCCCAGCGTGTCCTCCCATCTCCACAGATCAATGTGCTATACAACCGCATCAGCCATGCCCAGAAGTTGTAAGTGAACCAGACCCACAGCATTGCACCCCACTCCTGGGCAGCCCCCGGTCTCTCCCTCCCTTGCTCCCTCCCCACCCCCCCCCACCCTTTCTCGGTCTCAGGCCCTCGCCCTTTCTTGGGACCTGTCTCTTTATCCATCTTTGTCCCTCATTCTCTGACCATTTTTCTCTGTCTCTTCCCTGGGGTCTCCATGTCTGTGTCTGCGACCCTCTACAGTTGTACTCAAAGGGGGTGGGTGATTTGCCCCCAGGAGATACAGTTAGGGCACCACACACACACACCACCCATGAGGCAGGTGCCAACAGCCCCTGCAAGGACGCCGGTCCCCTGCAGTGCCCAGGCCCCGCAGCGAGGCCGGGTCTGGCCGATGTCAGCAGTGCCGCCAGCTCTGAATGCACCTGCCCTTTGAACCCATGTGGGTTGGGGCACCCGAGCCCCATGCAGGAGAAAACCCTCGTGGAACTTTTGATTTCCCCAAACTTACCCTATGAGGGGTGCTCCATCCCTCAAAGTCGGCTCTGCGGATTTGGGGATTCTGCACTGCGGCTCGACTTTTGCATCTGAGGCGTCCGCGAACGCCAAGCCTGGGGCAGCAAAGATCTGCAGAGCAGACGAGACTCCCGAACCGAGCTGCTCGGGCCAGCTGTGGTTTCTGTTCTTTTGCTCTGCATCCCCTTCCCTCTTCCCCGCCCACCGCTCCGTTTTATCTAGGGTCTGCCTTTCACCCCACTGTGGCCTTTCTTGCCTGTTACCCTCTCAATCACTCTTCCCTTCCCCCAACCCTGGGGCTCTAAACATTGATAACACCCACAAGAGCATCTGAACTCACCCCCAAACTGCCACTTCCGTCTGCCAGTGAGGCCTCTAAATAGCAACCTCTGGGTGAGGAAGGCGTTATTTTGGGGGATGGAATTCCTGACTTGAGGCCCCGCCTTTCTCAGAAGTCAGGGGACCCCTCCTGTTACAGGGCAGGGAGAGGGGTACCCCAGAACCCCCAAACCTGCCCAGTCTAAATAGGTTCTGCTATCTGCTGCATCAAGACAAAACATACTCTAGTGTGTAAGACCTTTAATGGAAAAGAAATTTAATACAATTAGGGCACAACACAGACAAGGGCAAGAGTGGAGTTTCCAAATCAAACACCTGACGTTCCCCGTCCCCTGTTGGGTAAATGTCCAGCCACACAGGGCTGGCCCAAAGCAAGGCCCCTGAGGCCGGAAAGCTGCCTCAGGTCTAAGGTCCCTCCAGGTGGGAGGAGAGGGGCGGGAGGCCCAGCACATCTGGGACAACAGGAGCAAGTTCAAAATCAAGATCAACGCTGCCAGTGTCACCTTCCCGCAGTCTCACCCACGTCTGTGTCACCCAGTGCGGGGCCAAGAAACAAGTGCAGCTTCTTCACGCGTCTCTGCTCCATGTGCCTCCTCCAGGCTCCTCCTGTTCCCCATCCTGCTTCCTTCTCCAGGCTTCTCTCCAGCTCCCCCCCACTTCTCTTCCCTGCTCAGCTACACCCTCCCTGGGTGGCACAGGGACCCTGGAACCTCCCCTTTCCCTGGGGGCCCCCGTTACAGCCCCCTCTTCTTCTGCAGCCGGAAGGGGGCTGGGAAGGGCCGCGTTGGAGGCCGCTGGAAGTGAGGACGTGGGGTCTCGAGGCTCACGCCCAGGCGCCGCGGATGCTGGAGCGTCTGTCCTGTTTGTGGCTTGAAATAAATGTTCCCCCGCAGGCAGCCGCAGCGATCTCTGATCCTTCCTAATAAAGCGCGGCCGGCTCCAGGCGCCCAAGGTTGGGTCCCCAAGGTGGGCGCCCCAGCGTTTGCGGTGGCGCGTGAACCGGGCAGACGCTCCGGGGAGAGCTGGCGGCTCCTGCGAAGTTGAGCACGGAGCTGCCACGAGCGCTCGGGACCTGCATCCGAGGTGCCCGCCCCAGAGAACCCCAGACACGAGCCACCCCAGTCACGCGCCACCGCAGGCGCTCCGCGCACAAAACGCGGCCGATGCTGGCGAGAGTGGCCAGGCGGCCCTGGCCGCGTCCGCTCGGCCGAGTGCTGGGCACAGGGCAGGGCGGTGAGCACCGGACCGTCCCCGCCTCCGTGGGGGTCGCTTCCCGCTGAAGGCAGCAGGCAGCGGAATCAAAACAAGAAAACTGTGGCGCCGGGGAAGGCTGAGTTTAGCTCCAGGGCTCGGAGGCCCCTTGACGGTGGGCAGGCAGGCCCTGCCGCACAGCTCCGGCCTGGGGCGCGGCCCGGGCTCCCCTTCCTGTGGAGGTTTTCCTCCGACGCCCCGGCCGCAGACCGTGGAGGTGCCCGGATTCCCGAGAGGGCCGACCGTTGCCATGGCAACGCCCGCTCAGGGACTCCACTTCCCAGCGCGCCCCGCGGCCCGGCGGGCGCCCTTCCGGGCCGCGGACTCCATTTCCCGGCGCGCCCCGGGGCGACGTGCTGACGTGCGCGCCGGGCGGGGCCGGGAGAGCCCGGGGCGGCGCGGCGCCGGGCGAGCGGCAGTTCCCGGCGGCCCCCGGGGCGGGCGGGCGGGCGGCGGCTCGGGGCTCGCGCCTCAGCGGGCGGCGGGCGGCGCGATGTCCGGCGAGGACGGCCCGGGGGCGGGCCCGGGCGCCGCGGCGGCGGCGGCCCGCGAGCGGCGGCGGGAGCAGCTGCGGCAGTGGGGGGCGCGGGCGGGCGCCGAGCCGGGCCCCGGGGAGCGCCGCGCCCGCACCGTGCGCTTCGAGCGCGCCGCCGAGTTCCTGGCGGCCTGCGCGGGCGGCGACCTGGACGAGGCGCGCCTGATGCTGCGCGCGGCCGAGCCGGGCCCCGGCGCCGAGCCCGACCCCGACCCCGCCGCCCCGCCGCCCGCCCGCGCGGTGCTCGACTCCACCAACGCCGACGGCATCAGCGCCCTGCACCAGGTCAGCGCCCCGCCCGGCCCGGCCCGGCCCGCCCGCCCGGCCCGGCCCGGCCCGGCCCGCGAGCATCCTCGCCCACCTCAGGCACCGCCGCGCCCCCTGCGCGCGCCCCGACCCCAGCCATCCCTCGGACGGCGTCGCCCGGCGCTGCCCCTCCGCGCCCTGCCCTCTTCCCAGCCCGGGGCGCCCTCAGCCTCCTCTGAGCCGGCGCCACCCCTTCTCTGCCCTCTGAGGGGCCGCCGCTTACCTGGGCCGCTTCCCCAGCCCAGAAGGTGCCTCCACTTCCGGCAGTTCTTTCTCTCCCCTGGTGACACTTCTCCCCTTGCAGGCAGGCACTGCTGGTGCTGAGAGGCAGCCTCAGCCTTCTCTGTGCCGGCGCCACCTCTTCTCTGCCCTCTGAGGGGCCGCCGCTTACCTGGGCCGCTTCCCCAGCCCAGAAGCTGCCTCCACTTCCGGCAGTTCTTTCTCTCCCCTGGTGACACTTCTCCCCTTGCAGGCAGGCACTGCTGGTGCTGAGAGGCAGCCTCAGCCTTCTCTGTGCCGGCGCCACCTCTTCTCTGCCATCTGAGGGGCCGCCGCTTACCTGGGCCGCTTTCCCCAGCCCAGAAGCTGCCTCCATTTCCGGCAGTTATTTTCTCACCCCCGGTGACACTTCTCCCCTTGCAGGCAGGCACTGCTCGCTCTGAGTGGCAGCCTCCTCACCCGGGTCTGTGCCTCCTTTTCCCTGGTCGCTGCCTGGGCCACCTCTCTGGCTAGGCCCAGACCCTTCCATGCCGCGACTTCCAGGTTCCACCCTTTGCTTTCCTCACTCCTCCTCCTCGGCCTGTGCCATCTGTTGCTGTCTAAGGATGCGTCTCCTTCCCCAGCCACATCTTTCTAGGTTCTGTCCACCTCGTTCCTTTGAAGCAGATGCTCTCTGAGTCTGGGTCACCTCAGGCCATGTCCCGCCCAACCCCATGCCTTCATAATTCAGTTGGTCCCCTCTTCCTTCCCTAAGGCCTGTACCACCTCTTGCCTCCCTCTGGAGTCCTTCATTTGTGGCCGCTTTGGTCTCTGGGCAGCTCCTCTGTCCCTGTCCCTTGGTTGGGCCTGTACCACCTTCCTTTTTCTGGGCCTTCTCAAAGCACCCACCTCTTCCTGGGCCACCTCTCCAGCCCATCTTACTCCCTCTGCCTGGATACCCTCTTGTGTGGATTTGGGTTGCCCACACTGCCTCCTGTGTGGCTTCCTCCTATAGACTGTGTACTCTCTTCTGCCCCTTCTCATGGTTTCTAGAACATGCCGGTGCTCTCCCTCTGCAGCGTTGACCCTGTGCCCTTCCAGGACACTTTGATTGCTGCCTCCAGTGCTGCTGTGCCCCTGAGGTCTCTCTGGCTTTTGTCTCTCCCCTCAGTAGTGCCACCAAGGAGGGGACAGCCACAGAAGGCTCTATCCCCTCTCCCTGCCTGGCAGGTCTCCCCATACTGGTCCAGACCCCCTGGGGTTTGGTTACTGATGGAGCTAGAGAGCTCCCTGGAAAGGACATCTTGGAGGTACTATGGGGAACACCCCCTTTTCAGGTTTCAGGAAGTGGAGCGGTTTAGGGAAAACAGTCCGTCCTGAGTTCTGATGTCAGCGTGAGCTTTGTGTCTGCCAGTTAAGTTAGTCTTTGCTCACTGTGCCTCAGTTTCCTCACCCACAGGATGAGCGGGTCCCTCCTCAGCAGGGCTCAGCTGCGTGTGGGACCTCCCTGAGGCGCAGGTGTTCCTTTGGGGAGTTGGCTGCTCGCCGGTCCCAGGGTTTCCTCTACCCCTGTCCGTTGCCACACCACAGGCCTGTCCCCTGCAGGCGCCCTCCTGCTGCCCGGGACTTGCCTCCTGCCCAGGGGAGGCCCCACTGCCTGTGTCCCACAGGGTCTCAGCGTCATTGGCAACCCCGGGAGAGGGGCTCAGGCCTCGGTGTCTCCCCAGCCTGGCTGTGCTCTTGGCTCTCTGGAGCTGCCTGCGGGGTTCCTTGTCCTGCTCCCCAGGCCAAGCCTCTTCTGCACAAGCCTGACCTGGACCCCTGGTGAGGCCCTTGCCCTGCTGTCAGGCTGCCAGACGTGTGTTGGGGCGGGGGAGGGGGCAGGCGGGGACGCCCTCTAGGGCAGAAATTCACTTCGCAGGGTTGTGCAGGGTGCAGAAGGGTTAGGGCGCCTGTGGTTCCGAGGGGGAGCTCCTGTCTCGAGGTGCAGGCCCGCGGGGGGGGGGGTTGGGGGGGGCGGCTGGGCTTGTGTCAGGTGTGGGTGACCAGCTCCTGCCAGTTTGCTGAGACTGGCTGGTTTCAGCTGCGAGGGCCCAGGAAGTGCCAGACCCGGGCACCCCCAGGTGGCTCCACCCAGGTGTGGTGACTCCTGGGCTGTGGTTTCCCCCTGAGCCTTCCCGGAGCCTGGGCGTCGGTGTCCGCCCCGGTGATCTCGGGCCGGGCGGCAGTGCTCGCAGCAGGTACCCCCCGCCTCCCGCCTGAAATTGCCCCATGAGTCAGTGACCCGGGCCTGGAGCGGGAGGGGCTGGGCCGCCTCCTGGGTCTGAAGCGGCGGCGGGGCCCTCCTGGGTCCTTAGGGAGCTGGGCCTGGAGTCCGGCCTGAAGGAGGGGTGGGGCCTGGCTCCGCGGGTCCCTGGTGCCCAGGCCGCAGGCATCGTTCACAGGGGTGCCTGTGCCGGGCCAGGTCCTTGAAAGGGAAAGGCCTGCTGCCTGCGTGCCCCCCTCCCCCGTCGCCAGGACAACCGGATGGAAATAAACGAGCCCAGAGTTCATCCCGTTCCCAGGGCACGTGCGGCCCCTCGCAGCCCGAGTTTCCATGACTTCATGCTCTTGGCCCTCGTCGCTTCCTCCCCCCTCCAGATGGGCGGCTTGGAGAGGTGAAGGAGTTGGGGGCTCCCTGACCCCCGCTCCAGAGCCTGCTCGGCCCCCTCAGCGTTTGCACGCGCCCCGACTGGAGGGCCGTGTCCCGGAGCCGCCGCCTCCGCCGGGCCTGCGCATGGGAGGGCCTGGTCTGTGCCTCGCGCCGGCCTCTGGGTCACACCAGCATGGCCCCCTGCCCCCACAGGGTCCTGCCCTGCCCTGGACCCTCACCCGCCTTCATTTTGCCAGGCCTGGACAGGCCGGGGCCCGGCCGTCTCCCCTCAGGCCTCCAGGCCAGTCACCGTCAGCTCCTGGAGTGTCTGCTGGGTCTGAGAGAGGCGGGGCTGGGCCTGCACCCCTGAGCCTGAGGGGAGCCTGGGTCTCTCCTGCCTCTCCCCTGGAAGCCCTGGCGGTGGTGCCTGGGCCACCCGTGTCTGCCGGCGCTGCGGGGTGCTTGGTGGCCAGCGCCCGCAGGGCTCAGGGGCTCTCCGTCGGGGCTTCGAGCCGCGATACCGGCTGACCTGGGCCTTGGCGAGCCAGGGTGTCTTGAGCGGCCAGTGGCTGGAGGGGCCTTCGGGACGGCCGGTGCTGTCCAGGGCCTGTCGCAGGGCCAGTCGCAGGGCCGCGGGTTTCTTCCTGGAATGTCATGGCCGCTTGCCCTGGGGCTGCCGTCCGGCCGGCGCGCCATGTGCTCTGTGCCCACCGTGCCCACCGTGCCCGGGCGCGGGGGCTGACGGCCGTGTCCCCCCAGGCCTGCATCGACGAGAACCTGGAGGTGGTGCGCTTCCTGGTGGAGCAGGGCGCCACCGTGAACCAGGCCGACAACGAGGGCTGGACGCCCCTGCACGTGGCCGCCTCCTGCGGCTACCTGGACATCGCCAGGTGAGGCGGGGAGGGGGCGCGCCTCGAGGAAGGGGCTGGATCGGCCGCCCTGACCTTCCCCCGCCCCCAGGTACCTCCTGAGCCACGGGGCCAACATCGCCGCGGTCAACAGCGATGGGGACCTGCCCCTGGACCTGGCTGAGGCAGACGCCATGGAGGGGCTGCTGAGGGCGGAGATCGCCCGCCGAGGTGGGCCTTGGGAGGGCTGCGGGGTGCTGCCTCCCCAAGTCGGGGCCCAGTGCGGGGGCCCAGGCCGCCAGCCCCTCCCGTCCTCGCTCCCCGGCCCTCTGTACCTCGGTGTTTACCCCTGTGAAATGGGGCGTTGGCGCTGCCCCTCCCCCCGGGTGGCTGGGGCGCGGCAGCAGCCGGGCAGAGCTCGGGAGTGGCGCCGGGCCCAGAGCGGGAGCGCCTGCGGAGGGCGGGCCACGTGGGTCTTGGCGCGAGTGTCCTGCTCACAGGCGGGCTCCTCAGGCTGGCCTCCAGGGTGCAGCCCCGCGGCGGGGTGACCGGCCTCGCCTGTAGTGAGGCGAGGGCAGCGCCGCCTCTGGGGCTGTGGTGGGGAGGTCGGGTGTGAGCCGGGGCCTGTGGATCTGGGGGCTGTGGGGGTCCCGGGTGACACCCCAGGCTTGGGGGGCCCGGGCTGTCCCGGAACTGGGTGGGGCGTGACCCTGCTGCTGGCACCGCCCGGCCTGGCTGCGCCTGTCCCCTGCGCCAGCCGCCGCCCGCCCCCTCGCCTCGCCCACACCGGCCCTGCCTGGGAGTGTCCCCCGCCCCACCGCTCCCTCCGGGTCAGGTCTGCGCCCTCGGGTTTTGGTCGGAGGTCGTGGGGGCCGGCAGCGGGGACGGGCCGTCTGTGCGTCTGCCTGTGCCGCTGTCCGTCTCGAGCTCGGCGGGTGTCGCCAGCCGGTGCCGTGTGGGGGCATCTCCCCCTTTGTAGTTAAAAGGCCGCGTGCGGGCCTTGCCTGGGGGTGTCCACCTGGAGTCCCCAGCCCCTGGGCGTGAGAATGGCCACCAGGCGCCCCGGAGCCGGGCGTTCCGGCTGCTTCTCCGACGGCCCGGGTCCCCTTCCGCGGGGCGCGGTGAAGGCTGGGGCCCCTCCGGAGCAAGATGTGGAGGTGCGGGGTCACTGCCGCTCAGCGACCGGGACCGTTGGAGAGCGGCGCGGGGGCGATCCTATGGGGTGGAGTCGCGCCCTGCAAGGAGCCTGTGGGAGCCACGGGCCAAGGGGCCTCGCTGCTCTTCCTGCCTCGCCTCGCGGGCTGTGCCCCCAGCCCGGCATTCAGCCCTGACCGTGCACCGGCACACCCGGGCTCACTGCCCGGTCTCAGCGGCGGGGGGCGGAGGCCAGCGGGGCCCGTGTGCGGTGGGCGGTGGGCGCCGGCCTTGGGGAGGAAGGATGTCTTCATGGGCAGCAGTGCGCCGGGCCTTGGGGACGGTGTTAGGCGTGAAGCCAGCCGGTGCAGGAACCTGACGGCCTGAGGATGGGTGCCCGCCTTGGGGGCTGTCAGGCGCGGAGCTGCTGCTTTGCGAGGTGCGGGCCCTTCTGGCCTTGCCGGTGGGGATGGGGCGAGCGTCGTGCTTCACGCCACCGGGTTGCACGCTGGAAAATGGCCCAGAAGGGCAAGCGTGCGTTATCTGCCACAAGGACAAAAAGAACCTCTGGGCCTGTCCCAGGCTCACCCAGGGACGCAGGGCACGTGCCAGGTCGCGGTCAGCCTGGGCCGCGGCGCCGGCTGTGTCGGGAGTGGACTTGCACTTGGCTCGCCTCTGGCGTCCACCCGTGCAGCGCGGGGTCCAGCGGACGGAGACGTGGGCCTCGGGGAGCCGCTTGCTCCAGGTGGCGGCACCGCGCGGCCCTGGGGTGGGAGGAAGCCGGTGCCCAGGGCTCAGGGCCGGGCCGCTCTCGGCTAGTTGCCTCCGCTGTGATGCGTCACGAGGGCAGTACAGGCAGGGAGACGCGGGGCCGAGCACCGGGTAGCGGGGGGTCGGCGCACACTGGCTGCCCACCAGCAGGTTTTGTGCTTAGCGACAGACGTGAGGCTCCGGGCGAGCCTGGGAAACTCCGCTGGAACCTGGGTGCCTGGCGCTCAGCTGGGGTCCCCTCACCCCCCAAGCCAGTCTGGGTCCTCCAGTCCCGGGGTGAGCGCGGGGGCCAGTCCAGCTCTGTACTTCCGGCCGCGGGCTGTGGCCCACCCACCCCTCCGTCCTCACAGGCGTGGACGTCGAGGCAGCCAAGCGGGCCGAGGAGGAGCTGCTGCTTCACGACACGCAGTGCTGGCTGAATGGGGGCGCCATGCCCGAGGCCCGGCACCCCCGCACAGGGGCCTCCGCCCTGCACGTGGCCGCCGCCAAGGGCTACATTGAAGTGATGAGGTGAGCGGCCTCGCTGCCTGCCCCCCTCCCCTCTTTGTGCCCCCTGAGCCCTGCCCACCACCCAGCCTGTCCCTCCCGACCTGTCGCTGAGGCCGTGTGCTTCCTCGAGATACAGCCCGGTGCATCCCGCTCGACGTGAGGTTGCTCCCGACCTGGCCGCCTTTCTCTTCTGACCTGGGGCCTGGTCAGCACACGCCCCTGATGCCCGCACGCGGGGCTTGCTGGCCCGCACTGGGAGAGGGCAGGGGCCCGGCCGTCCATCCCTTTTAAGAGAACAGCCCAGAGTGGCAGCCGGAAGCCGGGGGTTGCGAGAGCAGACGGCAGAAGCCTGCGGTGCTGGCACAACACCCCCGCCCGGATCTGGGCCCTGGGGGGTGGGCGGGGGGCGTGCACCTGAGGAGACAGGACCCCGGGGCACCGGCTGCCCCTGCCCCGGGGCGCTGGTGTGTCCCCTGCGGGCGCATGGCCACCCATGAGAAGCTCTGTGCTGAGCTGCAGTGTCGTCTCTGGGACACTCGCTTTCCCTCTCGGGGTGGCCCCTCTGCGGTGTCGTCCTTTCCCCGGCGGGGCTGGCGGGGTAGTTACTGGCCAGGTCCCATGGGTCGCCGGTGCCCAGGGGCTGCGTCTGCGGCAGCACCCGGCAAGGCTGGCGGACATCCACCCTCGGCCCGCACCCCGGCCTGGCCCTTGACCCCGAGCCTCCCTGCGCAGGCTGCTCCTGCAGGCCGGCTACGACCCCGAGCTCCGGGACGGGGATGGCTGGACGCCCTTGCACGCGGCGGCCCACTGGGGCGTGGAGGACGCCTGCCGCCTGCTGGCCGAGCACGGCGGGGGCATGGACTCGCTGACGCACGCGGTAGGGCCGGGGCATCCCGAGAGGTGGAGGGGCCGGGCAGGCCCACGCCCCTCACCGTCCGTCCTCCCTGCTCCCCCAGGGCCAGCGTCCCTGCGACCTGGCTGACGAGGAGGTGCTGAGCCTGCTGGAGGAGCTGGCCCGGAAGCAGGAGGACGTGAGTCCAGGCCCCTCGGAGGTCCCTAGCGCCCACCCCCGCAGCGCCTGCGCCTCCCCGCTGCCAGCCCAGGCCCGGGCTCCCGGAGAGTGGTGGGGGCTGCAGCTGGGCCGCCGAGGAGACGGGCCCCCTGGGGGCTCCAGCCACTGACAGGGTCCAGTGGTCCCAGCCTGGCCTTGTCACCCCAGGGCGGCCTCCCACCGGCCGGGCCTGCTGCTGGAGAGGCTGGGGGTGGGTCAGACCTGGCTCAGGCCCCGGCCCACGTCCTGGCCCTGCCCTGGCCTTGCCTGGCGGGCGTGTCAGGTCGCTCACCCCTCTGGGCTCAGTTCCCTCATCTGAAGGGGGTACTGTTGTGTGGGCATGGGAATGCCGTGGTGGACTGTGAGCGGCGAGTGCCCGCAGTCGGGAAGCTTCTCCACAGGCCCCGGGGCCGGGCCTTGCCCGGAGCTTCGGGAGTGCCAGGGCAGGCACCTCTGTGTAAAGAGGGCTGAGAGAGCAGCTTACCCGAGGGCCTCTGCCGGGCAGAAGGGAGGGCCTGCACCCCCCGGACCTGCCTCTCCTAGCAGCCCCCTTCCCCTTGCAGCTGCGGAACCAGAAGGAAGCCTCCCAGAGCCGGGGTCAGGAGCCCCAGCTGCCACCCAGCAGCAGACACCGAAGGTAGGGGTGGTGCGGTGCGGGGCGGCGCGGTGGGCGGCGGCCCGTGGCCCGGGCTTGTGCCCATACCCTCTCTCCCCCAGGAGTTCTGTGTGTCGACTGAGCAGCCGAGAGAAGATCTCCCTCCAGGACTTGTCCAAGGAGCGCCGCCCCGGGGGGGCAGGAGGGCCCCCCATCCGCGACGAAGAAGAGGGAGAAGAAGGCCCTGCAGGTGAGGGCAGGCTTGGAGCTCCTGAACCTGGAGAGGAGGGCTGGGGGAGGAGGGCTGGTCCCCAGAGGCAGCTGGCTTATTCCGTCCCCGGCTTCCTACACACAGAGCCGCCCCCTGCGGAACCCAGAACCCTCAACGGAGTCTCCTCCCCGTCCCCCCCGAGTCCTCAGAGCCCAGTGGTGAGTGCGGTGCCCGGGAGGCGGTGCCGACGCGATGGTCTGGGGCACTCTGGGGGGCCCTGCCCTCTGCGTGAGGGAACCTTTGTCACAGACCTGCTCCCTTGTCCTGCAGCCTTCCAAAGAGGCCCCCTTATCCCAGCGATTTGGCCTCCGGAAGACGGGGAGCTCCGGTGCCCTGGGCCCCTCACACAGGCCCGGGGCCGAGGATGCCCTGGGGGCCGGGCTGCAGCGCTCCGCCTCCTCCTCCCTGCTGGAAGGGACGTCTGCTCAGGTGAGTGGGGTGGGGCGGGCCAGTCCTGCCTGCGCCAGGAGCACGCCCGCTCCCCTCGCCTCCTGTTTCCACAGGCCAGGGAGCCCCGTCTTGCCAGAATTACCCCCACCCCCTCCCGGAAGGTGCCAGAACCCTCTGCCCTGTGAGTACCCAGGGCCTGGGCATGACCTGCCTGGCCTACCTGCCCTTGGGGTCTGCTCCCTGCCCCCACGCTCTTTGCTTCAGCTTCCCTGCTGGTGCATCAACTACAGTTCACAGGAGACGGCCTCGGCCTCTCAGCCTGCACCCCTCTCAGCCTGCACCCTGCACCCCGCCACACACGTTCCCCCTCCCGTCACCTCCTGTTGTCCATACACTAGTCCTCCGGGCCTGTGTGCCCTGAAGGGCGGGGGGAGGGGGAGGGGGTGCTTCGAGGGCGCATGTCTGTCCTCACTGCGCGCACTTGACCCGGGCCCCCCACGCCTGCCCCAAGGCCAGCTTGGGCAGGGCTGCCCAGTAAGGAGTCACACAGGCGTTGGTCACCATCTCCCCTCCAGGACTCCAGAGCCCGGGTCCCCAGTGAAGCCAAATGTCCCTGCGGCCTCCACAGCGCCCCCGGCAGACTCCCGCGATCGGCGGAGGTGAGCAGGCCGGCCGGGCGGGCAGCTGTTCTCCCTGGCTGTCCCAGACTGCGTTCCCAAGTGCCCGGGCTCCCCTGCGGCGGAAGGTCCCAGCACACCCTCCAACCCCTGGGTGTCGGGCAGGGGACGGGGCCCAAGGTCCCTGCCCGAGACCCGTGATCCTTCCAGGTCCTACCAGATGCCTGTGCGGGATGAGGAGTCTGAATCCCAGCGGAAAGCTCGCTCTCGCCTCATGCGCCAGTCTCGGAGGTCCACTCAGGTGTGGGCCAGGCCTAGACCCCGGGTCTGAGTGGGGAGGCCGGGGGCCTGGACCCCGGGTCTGAGTTGGGGGCCGGGGACCTGGACCCCGGGTCTGAGTGGGGAGGCCGGGGGCCTGGACTCTGGGTCTGAGGGCGGAGGCCGGGGGACCTGGACCCTGGGTCTGAGGGGGACTGCCCCTGAGCCTGTGCGTCTTACTGCGCCCTCTGCCGGCCAGGGTGTGACTCTGACGGACCTGAAGGAAGCAGAGAAGGTCGCAGGAAAGGCCCCAGAGCCGGAGAAGTGCCTGCAAAGCCTGGTGAGAGGGGCTAGGTGAACAGGCAGTGGGGGTTCCTGACGCCCGGGTCCTGACAGCCCTGCCCTCCCTCTCCCACAGGACCCTTCCCAGCGGCCCCACGTCCCTGGGGTGGAGAACTCTGATGGCCCCCCCCAGAGAGGTGAGGTCTGGTCCCGAGGGCCTTCCTTGTGCCTCCCTGCCCTCCTACTGCATTCCTCCTGCTTTCTCGGGGACCCTGAGAGCGCCATGGGGTCACCTCCCCAGTGTTGGGGCTGATTCCTGCTTCTCCCCCAGCAGAGATGCCTGAGGGGCAGGGCCAGGGCCCGGGCCTGCAGGCCAGGGAGCACCGCCAGGCTGGCAAGGAGCGGAGGGGGCTGGCAGAGGTGAGGGGTGGGTGCAGGTGGCTGTGGAGGTGGGGTGGGTGGCCCAGACCCTGCTGACATGCGACTGACCCCAGCTCTGCCCACAGGGGGAAGAGGCGGAGCTGGCCGGCGGCAGCTCGCAATCCAGGTAAGGTGGAGCAGGGATGGGCTTGGCCTGTCTGGGGGACAGGGCTGGCCCCTGATGTTCTGCCCTGTCCCCACCCAGCACCCCTGAGGCTGGCCCCTCCTCCCGCAAGCAGCGGAACCTGCACCCGGAGCCTGAGCCCGAGTCGGATGAGCTGGACGGAGGCTTCAGAGAGGTCAGTGACCCCAGCTGATAGCGGGGTGTGTCCCGCGGCTGGTGCCTGCCCCTTCCTGCCTCAGTGCCCAGTGCTGACCTGCCCCCCCCTGTGCCCCAGCTGTATGCAGAGCTGCGCGTGGAGAATGATCGCCTTCGTGAGGCCCTGACGGAGACCACGCTGCAGCTGGCCCAGCTCAAGGTGGAGCTGGAACGGGCCACGCAGGTGAGGCCCGGGCCCCGGTGGTGCTAGTCTGGCATGGCCACTCCGGCCCCAGGTGGGGAGGAGGACGGGTCTTGCCAGGCTCTGCCCGAGCATGGGCGGGGCTTGAGTGCCCAGGCCCGGGCCTGGGGCAGGGCCTGTGGGCCAGGCGGGCTCCTCAGCCTCTGATCCTGTGCTTCTGCTTTCCTGGCCAGAGGCAGGAGCGCTTTGCCGAGAGGCCGGCCCTGCTGGAGCTGGAGCGATTTGTGAGTAGGGGCTGCTGGCTGGGGGCAGGTGTGTCCCCAGCCCTGTAGGCCCAGGTGGCTGCACTGACCTGTGCCCTCTGACCTTTGCCCACCCCTCTCAGCCTTACTTGATCTTTGACCTCCTCTGACACCGTGTTTTCCAGGAGCGGAGGGCCCTGGAGCGCAAGGCAGCCGAGCTGGAGGAGGAGCTGAAGGTAAGCACCGGGGGCTGTGGGCCGCGGATGCCGCTCCGGGCCAGTGCTGACCCTGCCCCCCGCAGGCCCTGTCCGACCTGCGAGCCGACAACCAGAGGCTCAAGGATGAGAACGCGGCGCTGATCCGCGTCATCAGCAAGCTCTCCAAGTGACGCCGAAGCCAGTCCCCGCACCGTATTTATACAGCTGCTTCTGCCACACGCACCCCTCCCCGCGTGCGCAACGAGTGACAGGGCTCCCGGGCGTCTGAGAAGCCATCACCTCCCCAGGGACCTCCAGACTGGGTGGGCGCAGAGCCCCAGCGCCCACGGGGCCGTCTAGGGCCAGGATGGAGGTGGGGAGGCCAAGCCAGGTAGGGGGACGTCGCCGAGGGGCCCAGGGCTGGAGGCGGACCAGGAAGGAACAGAGGACCAGAAGTGCCAGGACCAGTAGCCAGGACCAGAGTGGCCGCCCGGAGGTCCCTGCTCACGTGTGATGCCACCGTCACCCCCTTCCCCAACAGGGATCCGAGAATGTGCCAAGAGCCCCCCGGCCTGGCCAGGTGGGCTGTGTATAGTCCATGTGCAATAGCGAGGATGTCTTCTATTTTTGCTGCCCCCTCCCGCCCGCTGTCCGGGCAGGGGGAGAAGTATTTTCGAGACAAAGCACAGGCATCACAAATAAAGTCGTGAAGTTGCCACTCAGCCGGGCGTCCGCATCCCGGGGGTGGTGCTCGCTGTGCGGGGAGGGGCTGCGGGAAGGGGGGCTGGGAGCGAAGGCTGGGCCGGCACCCCGCCTGGGAATGGGGCTGGACTGTCACGCCCAGGAGCTCGGGCCTCATCAGTGATTTTGAGACATTCAGGTCAGTTGCCAGACGTGGGGTGACCTACATGCGACAAGCTCGGTTGTGACTGGGGCACGGCACCGGCGGTGTGAGCGCGTCCTGCACACAGCAGCGGGCGGGCGGGTTCTGAGACACTGACCGCGGGCTTGGTCATGGCCTGACCCGGCAGGCCTGGCCCACCCGCCGGTGAGACAGCAGTGGGGGAGCCAGACCGAGGCCTGTGCTAGGAGGTGCATATAACGCGAGAGCAGATGGCGGTGCTGCGGAGCAGCAGTTGGAGTGTTGGTGTGTGTGTGTGCACACGCGCTGTTGTGCACGGGAGTGCAGGCGGGTGTGCGTTATTGCGCTGGAGATGGGGACAGTCCCCGGTGCAAAGCTGGCCCAGATACCCGAAGGTATCTCGGAGAAAGCACAGGAATTTGGGGGAAGAAGCTTCTGCGTGATAGTGTGTGCAGAGGCCCCCCGGGTAGATGTGTGTCCCACGCGAGGAGGCAGCAGACGCCCACCAGCCACTGGCGGAAGCAGGGGGCTGAGGTGGAGAGGGCACAGCTGGTGGTGGGACCCGGGGTCTGACGACCTGCTGGCTTGGGGGGGCAGAGGGGGTAGGAGAGGCAGGAATGGGGCTGTGGCCATGACCCCAGCCGGAGGTGCCAGTGGCTGGGGCCAGGGTGGTTGTGAAAAATGGTGAGAAAGGGTCAGATTCGGGGAGCGTGGAGGGCTTAGCCGCAGTGTCCCGTGCGTGGGGCTGAGGGGAAGGGGCGCAGGCGCGGCTGGCTCGCCCGGGCTCCGGCGGACATGCTGGCCTGCTGTCTGCAGGAAGGTGGGGCAGGAGCTCACCAAGCAGAGACTCACTGGGGCAGAAGAAGAGGCAAAAGCAGAATCGTGGTGGTTAAAGGGCTGGGGCATGTCTGGAGCAGGGCAGAGCTAGCAGGCCTGGGGTGTGAGGTGGGCAGGCGCTGGGGACCAAATCACCTGGCCTCCAATGCAGGCTTTTATGGGGAGGCGGGGGAGGGCTCTGGACAAGGAACTGGCTTGGGGTCGCGGGGAGGCTCCCTTTGGAGTAACCGGGAGACCAGAAGGAAGCCCGGCTGGGGGCCCTGGAGGCCGAGAGCATTGAGAGAGAAAGGCGAGGGAGAGAGGGCTGGTGCCTTTCCTCCTGAGAGGCTGTGGCCGCGGGGGCTCCCGGGCCCGGGCCGGCCGGGTGGACAAAGGACAGCAGCGGACGGTCTGAGAAGAGGCTGTTTACAGGCGGGCAGTGTCCCAACGCACGGGGCTCCTGGGCCCGCTCCCCGGCCCGCTCCCGGCCCGTCCGAGAGCGCTTGCTTGGGAGACTCTGGCGTGGACGGGCCGGTTTACCCGCCGGGCGGGGAAGACCAGGGCCTGAACCGGCCTGCGATCCCGGGAGGGATCCGCTTCCACGGGTGCCGGCAGGCGCAGAACCCGAGCTCGCGCGGCGCTGCGGGGGCTTCGGCCTTGGGGGGGGGCAGGCTCAGATGACCTCCATGTCCGTGTCGCCTTCCACCTTCTTCTTTTGCTTCTCCATCACGGCCTGCAGCTCTGACACCTTCTCTCGGTCCTGGAGGGAGGGGCGGCAGTCGGCAGCCTGGCCCGGCGCCCCCGCCCCTCCGCCCGCGCGGGGCGCCCCCGGCTCACCTCCAGCAGCGCGCGCTGCACGGTGACCTGGCTGTAGACGCGCGCCCCCTCCTCGGGGCTCACGGTCCGAAACTCCTCCTTCTGCAGCGAGAAGAGCTGCGCGCCGGTCAGCACGCCCAGCGCGTCCACGGTGCTGCGGGCCACGGGGGCGCGGTCAGGCTCGCGGCCGGTCCCCGCGCGTCCTCCCGGCCCCCCCCGACGCCTCGCGCCCTCGCGTCCACCCCACCCGCGGCTGCGGCTCAAGGGGGCGGGCGCTGCCGCGGGGCCCCCACTCACCCGGAACTAAAGCCCTTGGCCTGCAGCCAGGCGCGGACCTCCGAGGCCTCCGAGCGCGGGCTGAGCTGCGGCTCCGGGCCCCGCGGCCCCGGGGTGGCCCTGCTGGGCCCCGAGCGGCCCTGGGCCAGGCGCGCCTGCAGCTCCTCGTTGACGCTGAGCATCTGGCAGAACTTCTCTGCGGGCGGGAAAGCGGAGGGAAGCTGGTCGGGAGGCCCAGAGCAGCGCACCGCGAGTCGGAGTCCACGTCCTCTCGCCGAGCCGCCGAGCCTCGGCTTCCCTGCCTGGAAATGGGGCACACAGGCCGCTCCCGGGGTGGGGGGCCCTCACCGCTCACCCTTCTCGCCGGGATCCAAGCTGTTGAGGCTGTCACAGCTGTCCCAGTGGGGCCGGGCGGGGGCGGGCGGGGGCGTGCTGCTCTCCTGGAGGGGCAGCGCAGCCCTGGGTCAGAGGGGAGGTGCCCCACGCCCTTCTGGGCAGAAACTGCCGAGCCCCTAGCCACTCTGCCAGCGCCCTTGCCCTGGACGCCTGCTCCCCGCGGGGTCTGGCCCCCACCCTCCCCCATCCAGGCCGAGGGGCCCACGCACCAGGCTGCGGGCAGGGCTTTGGCTGCGGCCTGCCTGGGGCCCCGGGTGGGGTGCCAGGATGTTATAGGGCACGTATCCCTCCTGCCCCTGCTGGTCCCGGACCTTCCACCACTTGCGTTTGTCATCCAGGACCTGGGAGGTGCAAGGAAGGGGTCAGCATGCTGCAGCTGAGGCGGCTCCCAGCCCCGCGGCCCCCGCCCCTCTCACCTCCAGCACGTCCCGATGCTTGACCGACAGCTCGCTGCTGTTGCGGGCCTGGAAGTCGTAGTTACACAGGACCCACTTCCCGGCCGGCGCCGGCTCCGCGGGGGCCTCGGCCTCTGACTCCGGGTCATCGTGACTGTGGGGAGGTGGGGGGTTGGCCATAAAAAGGCGGCCGGCCCAGTGCTCTGGCTTGCGGGGTGATGGTGTGAGCAGGATTAGAGCCAAGCAGGGGTGAAGGGAGGGCCCCCAGTTAATACCGTTAACAGCGACCAGAAGCCCACACAGCCGCCTGCGCACCGAGCGCCCCGGCGCCTGGCCCGCGGCAGCACGGGGTGAGGACGCCAGCATCACCGGCACTTTGCGGATGAGAACTTTTGGGCCCGGAGAGGTAAAAATCGCTTGCCCAAGATCCCACGGCTGGAGACCTGCTTGGTGTTTACTGACCACCTACTGTGTGCGGGCTCGTGCATAACGATAACCCACCGTCAGGGGAAACCAGCCCCTACGGAGAGCACCTACTAGGTGTCAGGCGCCGTTCAAGGTCTGTTATGTAGTCGCTGGTGGGATTCTCGGGACAGTCCATTGCATGACTGATTCCAGAGCCCTGTTCCCTTCCCCCCGAGACGAGGGGATCGTCTCCATTCACAGGTGAGGAATTCACATTGCGAGGGCGCGATGGCAAGTGACATGGCGATGGCAAGGTCACAGGGCGGAGAGGAGGCACGGTGGGCCTGGCCCCAGGCAGGCCGACCCCACGACCCGCAGTCCAGCAACTGCTCGCTGGGTGGGAGGCGAGCTTGGCCGTGGCCTCGAGTGCTTAACTGGCCTGTGCAACCTCACGGACTGCACATTCCCCCAGGAGGAGATTATATGCATGCCTATCTTCCCCACAAAGTACTTCAGGCTCAGAGAAGGGGAGTTAGAAGCTGCGGTGTCAAGCCCAAAGTTCAGAAGCAGTGAGGGAGGGGTGCTCTGCAAGGCCAGGCAGCTGAGGGAGAGGATGAGGGAGCGCTGTCCCCAGAAAGAGAGGCCTCAGCCCAGATCAGGCCTACCTGTGCAAGGGAGAGGGGGGGTCTTCAGGGCCGCGGCACCCCCTGTGTGGGGCCGGCAGCTCCCAGTGCGCTGTCCCTGCTGAGACCCTCTGCCCACGCCCTCACCAGACCCCCTTCTCTTCCAGTCAGTCTTGCTGCTCGGCTTACTTCTTCCCCCAGTGGCTGCCTCTGCTTGTGCAAGCACCTTGGGGTCCTGGCCCCTCATCCTTCCTCCCCCCGCCTAAGTGTGCACCCCCATTGCTTGGTGGAACTGTGAGCTTGGACCCCAGTCTTGGCCGCCCCCAGACCCAGCCCTTTGGACCCTTACACACTCCCCGCAGGGACTGAGCCCAGAGGCAGCAAGGGGAGTGGCTGGGGAAACCTGACTCCCCAAGACTTCCCCGCAGCCCTGGTAGTCCCAGGCCTGCTTCTTTGGGTCTCCGGCCGGGCACCACGCCCCAGTTATTTCCTCAAACCTAAGTGCCCAGCTCCCCAGCCTCTTCCCTCCCACACTCAGGGCTCTGTTCTTGCCATGGGGGCCCAGGCAGGGAGCTGCCCAGGTCCCGGGCAGCCAAGCTGCCTTCTTCCAGCCCTTGGGGACCCAGCCTCGCAGATTTTACCCACCCCCAGCCCTCTCCTCCCGCAGGCCCTGGAAATTGGGCCTGCAGCTCCCTCCGCCCTCCCTGAAGTCTGGGCCCCGCCCCCCTCCCTGCTCCTCCCCACCCTCCCGGCCCGGCCCGGCGCCTCACCACCTCACCCACCTGTGGGGCGCCGCGGAGACAGGAAAAAGACAGGAAAACGGAGGATAAGATCAGTGCTGGGGACCCCGGGACAGCCCCTCGGGTAGCCCACCTACCCAGCCCTACAGCCGACACTCACCCATTGACAGCGACCTGGGGGGCGCTTTGCTGCGGGAGGTAAGAGCACCCAGTCAGGCCCGGCTGCTGGCCGCGTCCGGGACAACCCTGCGGCTCCCCCGGACCTCAGCCCCCCTCACCTGCCGGCGCCTCCGCTCGTGCTGCAGCTGCTTCTCCACCGGGTCCTCCCAGGCGCGGCCCTGCGGGTCGGCGGCGGGGGGCGCCCAGCCGCTGTAGAACTCGGGGCTGTACGGGGCTCCCTCCTCGGGGGGCAGCTCCAGCCTGCGCGCGGGAACCGGGCGGGGGCTGGGACCCGGGTCTGCCCGGACGTAGCGCGGGCGCCGGCTCGCGAGTCTTCACTGTGCCTAAACCCCTCGGTCCCCAGCGCTGCAGCCGCGCCCCGCAGCCAAGCCCGCCCGCCCCGCCGCGTCCGGGCGTCCCCCAGCGCGGCCTCCCCGCGGAGCTCCACGCCGCCTGCCCCGTGCCCCACGCCGGCGCCTCGCTCCCCGCCCGCGCCCCCGGCCCCGCCGCGCCCCAGCGCTCCAAGCAGCCGCCCCGCGGGCGCGGGGCCTCCCCGGCCCCGGGTCGCGCCCTCCCCAGCCCCGGCCCTGCGCCTGGCCTGGCGCGGGGCGCGCCCTGCTCGGGGGTCTGCCCGCCCCGTCTGCGCTCTCCGCGCGCGCGTCCTCGACCTCGTCCCGGCTCGCCGGCCCGCAGCGCCCGCGGCCGCGCCCCGCCCCCGCTCACCCCGGGCGCGTCCACGAGTCCCCCAGCGAGGTCCAGAGCGCTCTCTCCCGCGGGGTGACGTGCTCGCGGAGCAGCGCCACGGCCTCGGACGTCAGGTGCGGCCGCCGCACGCCGCTCGCCAGCGCGGGGCCGCCCGACGTGTCCACGACCTGCCGGGGCGGGCGGCCGCGGTCAGACCCGGGTCCCGCGCGCCGGGCCGGGCCGGGGCGCGGCGCGCGGGCGGGGCGCGGCTCACCATTTGCAGGGGGCCGAAGAGGAAGTGCAGCAGCTCGGGCGAGGAGGGGTTGGCGATGTTGCCGCGCAGCCGGGCCTGCGGGGGGAGGAGAGGCTGGGCGCGCGGCCGGCGGCGCGGGTGGGGCGCCCGCCCGCGGCCCCGGCGCCGGCCTCACCAGCAGGCTGAAGGCGTACTTGATCTTCCGCAGCACGTCGACGAACTCGGCCTCGGAGGGCGGCTTGGCCCGCAGCGTCAGGAGGCCCTCTGTGGAGGGGAGGGGCGGGCACACAGACCGGCGTGAGGCAGGGCCGCGGGACACCCGGTGGGGGGTGCCCCGGGTGGGAGGGGGCGCTCAGGACCCCGCTCGGGCGCCCCTCACCCCCGGACGCGCGGCGCCGGGGCCTGCGGCCGCGCTCCCGGTGCTCCAGCACGCGGGCCGCCTCTGCCGACTTCTGCAGCCGCGACACGAAGTCCTCCACGTCGTCGAACACGTGGTTCAGGATGTCCTGGGGAGCAGAGGAGGCGCGCGTGGGCCCGGGGCCCCCCTCGCCCAGCACCGCCGCCGGAGCCCGCCCCTCGGCCCGGCCGCGCGCCCCGGCCGCCCGGCTCACCACGTCCCGCTCCGCCTGCAGACTGGCCAGGTCCGGGCCGCGCGGGCCCAGGTCGGGGGACGCGGGGCCGGCGCCGCCAGCGGCCTCCGCGGGGGGCTTCTGCGGCTCCTCGGGGATGGGCGCCGCCTGCGGCCGCCCGGGGCCCGCGCCCCTGTCCGCCGGGCCGATCGCCGCGCGCACCGACGGCCGGCGCTGCAGCGGCGGGGTCTCGGCGGCGGGCGAGGGGCGGCGCTGCAGCTCCTCCTGCGTGGCCCTGGGGCGAGGGGGTAAACTGAGGCTGGTCCTCCGCGGAGCCCGGGCCGGGAGAAGCTCGGAGCTTAAACCCGACACACGGGACGCGGGCGGAGCGGGGCCGAGGCCCGCCAGGAGCCGGAGGGTCCGGGCGGGGCCCTGGGAGGCGCGGAGAGACGCTCCGCCCCAGGCCCGTGGGCTCAGCCTCCGCTCGGAGGGGTCCTGGCCGGGGCCCCGCCGCGCGCTCCGCTCCCCGCCCCGGCCCTGCCGGGCGCCTCACCTGAGCGCCGCCTCCCTGCGCTCCCCGCGGCCGAAGCGGTGGTTGTGCAGGGCCCCCTGGACGTCCTCGCGGATCAGCTCCGCCTGCCAATCACGCCGTCAGGCCACGCCCCACGCGCCCGCGGAGGCCGGGGGTCCTCCCCGCCCTTAGCCCGCCCCGCCCCTCCCGCCCTGGCCCCGCCCCTCCAGCAGCCCCGTCACCCCAGGCCCCGCCCCTCCCGCCCCCGCCCTGGCCCCGCCCCTCCCGCCCCCGCCCGGCCCCGCCCCTCCAGCAGCCCCGTCACCCAGGCCCCCCTCCCCCCCCCCCGCCCTGCCCCCGCCCCTCCCGCCCCGGCCCCGCCCCTCCAGCAGCCCCTTCACCCCAGGCCCCGCCCCTCCCGCCCCCGCCCTGGCCCCGCCCCTCCCGCCCCCGCCCGGGCCCCGCCCCTCCAGCAGCCCCGTAACCCAGGCCCCTCCCGCCCTGGCCCCGCCCCGCCGCAGGCCCCGCCCCGCCCGCCCAGGCCCCGCCCGACCCCGGGTCCGGGCCGCGGTGCCGGCGAGCCGGGCGCTCACCCCGAGGCGCAGGCCCTGGAAGAAGTGCACGTCGGGCTGCGCGCGCTCGGGCTCCTGGCACACGAGCAGCAGCAGCGAGCGGCTCCGGCCGGGCGGCGTGACCGCGTCGCAGCGCACGATGGCGCCCAGCGGGTACGACTCCAGCTCCTCCTGCGGGCGGGGTAGGCTGAGGCCGGCCGCGCCCGCTCAGAGGCGCCCGCGGGCCCGGCCAGGCTCGGGGGAGGGGAGGCTCCTGCTTCCCGGCGGGGCCCCCGCTCCCCGCGCCCTGGGGCCGCCCCGCGCCTCGCCGCCCGCCCGCCGTGCGCACCTTGGACAGCGGGTCCAGCAGCGCGACGTGGCCGGGGGACACGCGCAGCAGCATCTCCTGGGCCCAGACGCGGCCCTGGCGGTCCATGACGGCCAGCTTGCGCGAGGCGTCCTCCAGCGTGTGCACGCCGTCCTCGTCGCCCAGGCAGAAGGTCACCAGGTGCTGCGGGCGGCCGAGCCGTGAGTCCCCGCTGCGCCCGGAGCCCCGAGCGGTGCAGGCCCTCGGCCGCCGCCTCCGGGGCCTTCCCTGCGCCCCGTCTCTGTGGGTAGCGCTCTTGGCACGCGGGCCGCCTCGGGGAGACTGGGGGCTCCCGAGGCAGGGAAAGGTCTGATAGCATCGAGGCCTCTCCAAGGGCCTCTGTCTTTATCTGGGCACCTGGCACCCCTCACTGGTCCCTCTGGACCTGGTCCCCTGGCTTGTCCCGTGGCCAGGCCGTGCAGACCCGGGTGGGTCTGAAGGAAAGGAATGAAGCTCCTTGGCAGAGCCCCCAGGTCCCGGCCCACCGGGCGAGTCCATCTTGCAGATGAGGAAGCTGAGCTCCCCAGTTCTGCTTTCAGCAGCCCCCTGTCCTGCTGCCTGCTCCCCCCTCCCGCCCCCCACTCTCCTGGGGACAGCGGCCACTCACGTTGACCGGGTACTGGGAGACGTCGGCCATCACCACCGTGGAGTAGCGTTTTCTCTGCTCTGTGGGCGGAAGGGCAGTGGACCCCGGTGACCCGGCCTGCCTCCCGCCTCAGGCCAGGCTCCGGGAGACCAGCCCCCCGTCCCTCAGACCTAGTTTTCTCAGCTTGGGGTTCCCTTGCCCCCCAAACTTACCATAGATAGACTTGGCACTTGGTTTGGGGGCGGCTTCTGGGCTATGGAGGGAAAAGAGGGGTGAGTGGCTCTGAGAACTGGGGGCAGCTCTGGTGCGGCAGCACAGCCGCTTTGGTGGAGGTGATGGAGAGCCCCGGGGGCCTGGGGGGGGCAGGCGGCGGGCGGCGGAGGATGCTCCCCACTGTCACCCAGGCCGGGATGGAGCCCTGACAGCCTGCCTTCCCCGAAGGCCCTGGGTGGGGGCCGTACTCCCCGTCTATATGGCGGGAGTTGTTACCCGCGGCGTCCGCTCCAGGGCTCTGGGCCAGCGCGCTGGCCGGGGGCTGGGGCGGCCCCCGCGGAGGGCCCCCACACTGTCACCAGGGCAGCCGCTGCCCCTGCTGGCCGGCTGCTGCAGACCACCCTCTGGCTCTCCCGGCCGCCAGCCCCACCCCTCAGGAGTCTCCAGTCCCCGGGGCCCGGGGATAACCAGCTCTGGCTCGCACGGAGCACCCCTCAGCCCTGCTCTCGCCTCCCGCTGCTGCCCCTGGGTTTCCTCTGAGCTCGCCCCCGCCTCCCGCGCAGCTCTGCGCGCCTCTCCCACTGCCCGGAGCCGGCCCTGCTCCTCGGGCCTGACCGCAGCTCGTCAGCACCGGCTCTGCTGCGGCCCTTCCGGGACCGTCAGATTCTTTGCTGAAGCCTGAGCTTGCAGCACCCCGGCCGGCTCCTCAAGATGTCCCGCCTCCCAGAGCAGGACCGAGGGACCGACCTCCCATGCAGGGTCACCCGCAGCCCCGTGGCCAGCGGCCAGCGAGGCTCTGTGCCCCGGGCTGAGCCCCGACCTCAGGCCCGCAGGCACGGCCGCCCAGGCTTGCCCCCAGCACCCACCTGCAAGTGGGGAAGGGGCTGTGGGGGCAGGGGCACTTACCCGGCGGTGGTGGTGGTGGTGGTGGTGGTGCTCATGGTGCCCAGTGGGGTGTCCTGCGCCTGAAGATGCCCTGGGGCCGGGAGACCTTGACTGAGGGGTGACTGGGCCGGCCCAGGACTTAGGAGAGCTGCCTCCTCCCCCAGGCCCGGAGCCCAGGCCCCGACCCCACCTCCCCCAGAGCAGGGTCCAGCCCCCTCCTTTCCTGGTATGCTGGCCCCCCACATCCCTCAGGGAGCACTAAGGTGTCTAGCTTGAGTGCACCCCATTTCCCTTCCTGTCCCCAGGAATCCAGCCTCCGGTCTCTTCCCGGGAGCGGGAGTTAGCTCAGGACTGTCCTAAGAACTGAAGTCTTGATTGCGGCTCAGCCCCGAGACTCTTATCCGTTAGCTCTCGGGGTGCAGTCTGCCAGCCTTACCACCCCAGCACGGAGCGCTTCGGGGCCCAGCTCTCCTGTGCGTGGCTTGGGGTCTAGCCTCCTGCTTCTTCTCTCCCAGACGAGGGTCCCACCCCCAGCCCCTCCAGGCCAGGCCCCCTGGCTCGCCCTCTCCTCACCTGCCCCCCTCCTCACCTGCCCGCCTCAGGCTTCAGGTGAGAGGCCCTGCTCCAGGCTCCCTGCTCCCGGCTCCCCTGCCCCTGGCAGACTGAGGCCTCCTTCCAGCTTCCTCCCTCCCAGGGCTGTCCCGCCTCCGCATACCTGAGCACTCACCTGGCACTGCCCGGCCTGGGTGGAGCACCCTGGGCGGGGTTGTCTGAGAGACCCAGGGGTGGGGTGGGGGAGCCCAGAACCATCCAGCAATTGGAGAATAACAATAACAGTGATTTGATGTCACACTGTTGACATGTCAGAGCCTTGAAGGCTCTGTCTGAAATGCCCCTTCCGGTTCCCCAGACGCCTCCGGGGACTGGAGTCTGTTTCCACTGTTCAGGTCAGAGAGAGCCATGGTGGGGCGAGCGGTGTTGGACACGAGCTGTGAAGGGACAGGAGCTGTGGAGTCGGGGCCTTGCAGAGGGGTATCACGGTGCTCCTGCCTCCGGGCGTGCCGTCCACACAGATGTCCTCAACCCCAGGCCTCCCGGCCCCTCTTCTCTGTGCCCCCTGTTAGGATGCTGGCTGAGACACCCAGGGCCTGGCATGGCTCCAGGAACAGGGCCTGGCATGGCTCCAGGAACACCCCAAATTAGCAGACTCTTCAGGCATGAGCTCTCCTTCTGAGAACTTCCGTTTCGAGGCCCTTGCTAAGCCAGCGAGACATGTCATTTGCCCCCAGACCCAGCCAGGCCCAGCACTGGAGTCTCCGTTTCGCAGGTGGGGAGCCCCTAGACTTGAGAAAGCCCCTGATTCTGCATGCAGTGAGTGGCTGAGTCAGCTCCAGAGCTCAGAACTCAGAGGGAGTCACTGGGCATGCCTCCCCTCAGGGTCGGTGACCCCGCTACTCCCATGTGGCCCTCACCTGGGCCCCACCTAGTCTCCCCGCTCCCTTACTCCCTCCCCGCAGTCTTGGCCCAGTGGAGTGAGTCCACAGCAACCTAAGTCAGCTCGTGTCGCTCCGCTACTCCAGAGCCTTCCGTGGCTCCCACTTTCCTGGAGAAGGCAGAGGACTGCACGCTCCGACCTCACCCCTGCATCCCCCCCCATCACCCCCACTCTGACCACAGGGCACACGGGCCTCCTTTCTGGTCTGACCTCCTGGACCTGTCCTGCCTCAGGGCCTTTGCACCTGCTGTTCTCACAGGCATCCTCACGTCTCCCTCGCCTCCCTGTGGTCCTACCTCTAGCACATTTTGCTTGTTTCATGGCTCCCCCATCGGAGTGTCAGCTCCTGCGTGTGCTCAGCCCGGCTCTGTCCACGGCCCACAGGGGCACCGCGGGGTTAGCAAGCCCCCAGCATGGGTGCCGCCATGCATTTTGGCTTCGTTGTCTGGTGCAACGCGCGGTGGCTGCACCTGGTGCTGAGTGAGGCTGGAACCCAGATAGGGCAGCTTGTCCGGAGCACAGGGACGCAGGGATGGGGGAAAGACGAGACGCTGGTGCTCGGCAGGCTGGCGGAGGCCGGTGTGAGTTCCGGCCTTGCCTCTCAGTGCGGCCGCATGCTGGGGTGTGTGTGTGTGTATGTGTTTCCCATGAGCATCCCCACAGCCGCTGAGGAAATGGAGGTGCAGACAGCTCAGTGATCCCCCTGCAACCACACAGAGAGTGCCGGTGGAGGGGTTGAGCCCCCGCGTGCTGAGTGCCACCGCGTGCCCTGCCCCTTCTAGCTGTGCCCCTGGCGGTGGCTCAGTCCCTCTGGCCCCAGCGCGGCTGTTACATGCTTGGAGGGCCTCGACTCTGGGAAGGGGCGGGGGGCGCTCTCGGGTGTGCCTGGCGGAGGGGAGGCAGGTGGCGTCAGCGGCCGCACGCATGACGGTCTCTCCTTCACGTGGCAGTGGGCAGGGCGGCTGCTAAGAGGGTCAGGGCCGCCTTCCTGGAGGAGGAGGGGAGGCCAAGTGGAACCTGAAGGACTAGTTTGGCGCCCAAGGTGGCCCAGAGGACAAGGGAGGAGTCTTTCCAGGCCACAGAGCCACGAAGCCCGGCCTGCGGGACGGCCCAGGCCAGCGGGCGTCTGGGGCTGGCCGGCTCTGGGGCTGCAGCCGGAGAGGGCCCGAGTGTTCTCCCAGCTCAGCCCGGCCTGGGCGGGGTCTGCGGGAACGGGCAGACCCCTTAGCCCCTGGGAGGCGACCGACAGGGGCTGGCACCCCAGCGCCAGAGAACAGAGAGACCGAGGGCCAAGTCCTGCGCGGGCCTGTCGCGGTTCTGTCCCAGGCCGCGGCGCGGAAGCAAGGGAAGACGGTGCAACACCCGCGGGACAGTGAGCGCCGGCCCCTGCGCTACAGTTGTGCGTGTTACTCCCACGTCCGCTAGTGGGCAAGAGCCGCTTGCCACTAAAAGCAATGCTCGCGCCTGAGGTAGAAGCTCTGTATTGCTGGGCAGTGCCGACCGCTCGGGGCCTCCAGCCAGCCCGCGTCTCCGCTGCTGGAGCGGCCCGTGACAACGCAGCGTCTGTGTGAAGGGCAGTCAAGCCTGAGTGCGCAGGGGCCAGGTCAGGGAGGGGTCAGAGGGGCGGGTCTGGGAGAGGGGCCAGGGCCTGGACCCCCGGGTCAGCGGGAGGAGGCCTGCTATGAACCCCAGGCCTTAGGGAGGAGCCAGGGGCCCAGAGCAGGCTCCTCAGACCCCACCCTCTGGCCGCTGGGAAACTTGACCGAAACCTGAGCCTCCGCCCTGGTTCTGAGCCCAGGGCCTCCTTCCTCCTTCCTGAGGCAAAAGAGGCCCCTCCCTCTCTCCACTTCATTGAAGTGGTTCCCAAATTCCAGCAGAGGCCCCCACCCTTGCTGGCCTGGCTCCAGGCTGGCAGAGGCTGGAACCCTGGTCTTAGAAACTCCGGGGGCTGGCGGGTGTGGTGTGGGGTGTGAGACCGGTCTCCTAGGAAACGCCACCCGGGTGCCTGCCCCCCTTGCTGAGCTCTGGGGCCTGTGGGCTGCTTGCCTCCGTCCAGTTGGGACAGCTTTGTTGTTGGGGCAGTGACTGTTTTCGGGGTTGGGGGCTTTCCCTGAAGGAGACAGAATTCGCCAGTGGGGCTCGAGTGGGGCTAAGACCCTACACCCGGTGCGTCTTGTGTGAAACCACCTCCACCCCCTTCCCTATGCTCGGTCTCCTCACCGTGCATACCCCACCCAACTGCAGGATCTGTGCTCAATTCCTCAGACAAGGGGGGGTCAGATTCACCCAGAAATGAGGGGCATGCAGGTTGTTGGAGAGACTGGGTCTCAGCCAGATATATTTTCTGACATATTTGACAATTCATACAAGAAATAGCTCCAGCGACCTGTTTTGTGCTTTGCTGTTTGGTCTCAGGAAGAGACTAATTGGGGTTATGGGCTTCCTGGCCCTCGCAGGTCATGGTGACAGGGACGCTGATGGAGGTTGTACAGGACATGTGTGCCTCTAAGGGATGCCCTTATTCCAGCTTTGTGGTGGGTATGTGAGGCCAAGTGTTCTTCCCTGGTGAAGTGATACTGGACGGGGTTTTGAAGGATGAAGAGGAGTTTGTTGAGGAAGCCGGGACAGGAACTGACACACTAAGCAGTGGGCGTGGCATTTGCAAAGTCCAGTAGTCATGAAGTTATGCAAATGCTTGTGCACACCTGGGCTCCAAGCGCTGGTTGGAGGAAGCCCTCGCCTTTGTGTCAGTGTCACTGGGTGTGGTGGGGAGACAGTGGAGATAAACAGGTAACACACATGCATGAATAAGACTTTCAGATGGTGGCAAGTGTGGTGGAGGAAATAAAACAAAGGAGAGGAGATGGAGCGACACGACATGGGGCCTGCAGGTGTGGCTGCTGGGGGCGGGTGGTGCCATCCCTGAAGGCCTCCCTGAGGAGGTGGTTTCTGTGTCCTGACCTGAATTCCACGAAGGAGCCTGGAATGCAGAGCGGGTTTCCGGTCTCGGAGAGGCTGACTGGGAGGGCCTAAGGGTGAGGCTGCTGGTGATGGGGCTGACCAGGCCAATCACAAATGAGAGGGAGCACAACACCAATCCCTGGGACTTGCCCCAAGCCTGAGAGGCAGCTCCACACAGGCTGCCCTCGCAGAGGTTGTGCGGGCAGGATGGAAGCTCCCAGTAGTGCGACCTGATGCCCAGGGCTTCCGGTAGGTCATTCCTGGGTGTTTCTGCTGCAGCCTGGAGAGGGGGTGGGGACTGGCTGCGGAGGGAGGGCCTAAGAACCGGCCTGGCTGGGGCCGGTGGAGGAGGAGGGAGCCTGTTTATTCTCTGGGAGGGATCTAGGGCAGTCAGACTCTTGAAACTGGAGGAGTCTGGCACCAAGGCCGTGGGGGCAGTGACTGGCAGGGACTCAGATTCAGGTCTGGATCCCAGGTTGGAGCAAGTGACTGGAGCTTTTTCTCATTTTGCCCAGCTGCTAGCTGGCGTCTGGGCATCTGCCCTGGAGGCAGAGAAGGCGGGCACTGAGGTGTGAGAAGACCTCAGGGCTCCAAACGGGACTCTGCGCTCAGCCCAGAGGAAAGCAGACAGGACGGGGGAGGACCAGCCGGGAAGGCCGAGGGGTGAGGGTGGAGGGCGCGGCAGCCCTGACATCATAGACACACGCCCGCCTCCAGCCCCAGCTCCTGGCTCCCCTCAACCTTCCATCTGGTCAAGACATTTAGTTCAGTTTCCAAAAGATTTATTTATTTAATGCATACAGGAGCTGGGGTACAGGCCAGAGGTGTGCATGTGGGGGAGAGGAGTCACCAGAGACAGAGTGGGGAGCAGAACAGGCAGACTGACTGAAATCCACTGCTAAGAGGAGCAGCGGGGAGACAGGAGAGGTCTGCTGCGCCCTGTGGGGAGCTCCCTGGCCGGGGATCGAACTCGTGCTGCAGTGGCTGCGGATAGCTTCGTAGGTTGCCTCTTAATCCCTTGCGCCACAGGGGAGACCCCTGTACCCCAGTTCTTGAATGCATAAATAAGTAAATTTAAAAAAAAAAACAAAATTAAGAAGGACACTGTATAGACAGCTGGTGGGGATACTGCCGTGGAGGACAAGGAAGCAGGGGACTCAGTGGGTGTTTGGGTGGTGGAGGGCACCCAGGCAGACGGGCGTAACTGATGGGGGACTGCAGGAGGGCGGGAGTGGGGTGTGGGGATCTTGGGGGAGGATGACCTGCGGGGTGGTGGCCAGCGCAGGGCCCCGGGGGGAGCGCCTGGCGTGTGTACACAGGAAGGCCGGAGACTCTGGAGCAGAGTGGGCGGGGGGTGGGCGGCCTGGGAAAGCAGAAGCCCCCTTCTTCTAGTGGGGTCCCTCGCTCTGGACTTGCTCTCCCCACATGCCTGTTCCTCCCTCCGGGGGATGTCCTGCAGGCAACATCCCTAAAACAGACCCACGCATTCCTCCAGCCTCCCCTGTGCCTGCAGGCAAATCTCTAGCTCCTTCCTCTCTTCCTTCCTTCCTGCCACCCACCTTTCCTTCTCACTCTCTGCCCCTTCCTGCTTCTCCTCTTTTCCCCCTGGTTCTCTCACCAAGTGCAAGTCCTTAAACAACAGCAAAACCCAGTTGCTCCAGTCACTATAGCCGTGTCACAAAGTCTAGCGGCTTAAGTGAGGACCACTTGTGTTTCGCTGACAAGATTCGCCTGAATCTTGAGCCACTGATTTTTAAGAAGAAATTGTTCAGGTCAGGGGCTTCTTGTTTTCCTTTACAAGTTTAGATCTTTCCATATCCTAAGTTATCTTGGCCTAAAGGTGGCTTGATGCTGTTTATGTGCAAAGGAAGGCAAAGCCTGGGGGTATTTTTCCCTGTCTTCTGAGGAATGCACTGTGGAGCTGCAGAGGCTGGGTACCTGTTGCTAAAGTCTTCTTCTTTTTAAAGACTTATTTATTGGGACCTCCCTGGTGGCTCAGGGGTTAGGCTCAGCGCTGTCACCCCCATGGCCTGAGTTCAGTCCCTGGCCAGGGAGGTGCGTCACATGGCGCAGAGACCTCTCCTGTCTCCCCATTGCTCCCCTCAGCAGTGTATTTCAGGGGATCCACCTGTTCTGTTCCCCACCCTGTCTCTGGCAAATCCTCTCACCCCCTATACCCTAGTTCCTGAATGCATTAATAAGTAAAAAGAAATCTTTAAAAAAAGGATTTATTTATTTATGCATACAAGGACTGGGGTGTAGGCCAGAGGTGCGGGGGTGGGTGGGTAGGTGAGTTGATTCACCAGAGGCAGAGTGGGGAACAGAACAGGTGGATCCACTGAAATCCACTGCTGAGGGGAGCAGCAGGTTGTCAGGAGAGGTCTGCTGCACCATGTGGGTCAGCTCCCTGGCCAGGGGATTAAACTTGTGCTGCAGTGGCCGAAGATAGCTTCATAGTGCTGTGCCTTAACCCCTTGCACCACTGGGGAGTCCCCTGTTACAGTCTTCTTTAGGGGCTCTTTGGTCATCAGTGGGGGCTGAAAGACTGTTCTACCCACAGACATCAGGTTCCTGGGTGACTCCTTCACAGAAAAGGATAAAAACGCTCTGACTTTAAACCTATGCAGGTGGCTTCACTCTCGTGGCTAGACCAGAGAGGAGGGTTTCAGACTGTTTACCTGTTCTCATCTGTCAGCGTACAGGGGTGAGGAGAGAGATGGGTCTGCAAGCCAGGGCTCTGTGCGAGTGTTGCCTCAGCACCTGGGACAGCACCCAGTGCCTACCAGCGCTTCCTAAGCACATCACTGTGCTAAAGGATGCTTTGTCTGCCTGGAGTCCAAAGAGCTATTCTAAGCACCGCAGGTGTGTCTGGGAACCAAGTGGGAGGTGCTCAGAGAGAGGAAGCTGCATGCATCATCCTGCAACAACCAGAGCAGTCTGCTGTGTTCTGGCACTTTACCTTGGGGTGGGGTAAGTCCTTGTGGTGAATCAGTTCAGGTCATCCTCCCAAACCCAGCGACAGGGGCTGCTAGCTGCTGTGACCTCCTGCTTGTTTTTGTAAATAAAGTCCTACCAGGACACAGCTACGCGCGTGGGTCTGCATATTGCCCATGCCTGCTTTTCTGCTATGAGTGGGGAGAGGGGAAGTCCCTGCTCAGCACACCTTTAAGAAGCGGTGGAGCAGGATTCCCAACAAGATCTGCACTGTCCGTGCCTGGACTTCTCTATCTACAGCCTCCAGTGTGCCTTCTCCTGCCCAACGCTCTGCCCCTGCTGTGGACCTGGAGCCCTGAGCTCCCAGAATCGCAGGAAGGAGACGTGTCTCCCAGACCCAGCCACACTAGCTACACCTCCCCCAACAAACCCTTTGGTTTGTTGTGTAGATTAAATACTTGGCACATGCCAAGTCCTCAGTAAACAGTAGCTGGTAGTAATGTTTGGGTTGGGTATTTTCTTTTCAACCACATCTCTTGCCAGCTGCCTCGTTCAAGTGGGAAGTCTCCCTCAGCCCTGGGCAGAGTCTCCAATCATAGACCCTGGTCCTTGGGCTGTGGGGCTCCCGTTGGGTGCCCTGTGGCCAGGAGGACACACAGAGCTCAGTTTTGAGGGTACTGCAGAGACAAGACTTGCACCTTCCAAGAAAAGAATCTCAATCATTAAATTTTGCAAGTCTGCGAAACCAAAGGGAACACATTTCTTTCTATGTTTACAAAGCATGACATCAGATTTTTTGTCAAATCAGTGTTCAAAAGCCTCTTGGGACATTTGGAAACGATTAGTCAGACATTCTTCACTCCATAAGAATTCTCAAGTATGTGTGTCCATTGCTGACAAACTGGAGTTTGTCACCGAGTCAGATGAGTTATTTGCATCCAATAATCTCCAAAAGGAAATGATAGAAGTCTTTCCAGGTCTTTTTTTCTGTCTAGTAAACTTTGTTATAGTATCATTTACGTGTGATAAAATCCACTGTTTTCAAGTGAACATGTTGATGAATTTGACAAAGGCAGAGTGGATGGAATTAGTTAGGATGGGGTCGTGCTGGAGTAGTGAGCCGCACACCCTGGAACACCAGGTGAAGATGAAGGCAGAGATCAGGGTGATGCATCCACATGCCCAGGAACCCCAAAGGTTGCCAGCAAACCACCAGGAGCGAGGGGAGAGGCAGGGACAGATTCTCCCTGGTGGCTTCGGAAGGGCCCCACCTCTGAGGACACCTGACCGGGGACCCCAGCCTCTGAGACTGGGAGGCCAGACGTTTCTATTGCTGTACGCCGCCCGGGTGTGTGGCACCTCCTTACAGCTGCCTCAGAGGTCTCCATCACTCCAGAACTTGCCTTTCTCTGGAAACGCACTTGGATTTCTTTTGGTGGCCACCTAGGACTAGGATCGCCAGCTCACTGAGTTTTATTTTTTGATGCACAAGACAGAGGCTGTTTATTTAACGGGGAGGTGGGTCGTTTGGGCACGTGAGATGGTGAGGGCTTCCCGGGCGCCAGCCGCCCTCCCTGCCCAGCGCCCTCCGCCGCAGCGCAGGCCCCGAGATGGGCCGCCCACTCCTGCAGCCTTGGGGTGTGGACTAGGCGGGTCTCTGGGGGCAGGTGTGCGGACCAGGCTGGGGCTCGAAGGAGCCCGCTTCGCCGCGGGGGCCGGGAGCCCAAGGAGGCGCAGCGAGCCTGAGGGACTCTGAGAGAGGCTGCGCGGGGCGGGCCGCTCCACGTCGAGGGAGCCGCTTCTCTCCCGCGGCCGGCCGGAGAGAAGCAAGGAGCTGGGCAGGGGCGCTGGCTCGCTGGGCCGCTGCCGCGCCGAGTTACCGGGGGCAGGGCCGGAGAGGCCAAGCCAGCTCCTCCCTCGGGCCCGGGTCCGGGCCCCGACCTCCCCCCTGGGGACCCCAAGGAGTTGGGAACCCCAGGCTAGTAGGCCCTTGTTTCTGATCACAGAAATTCTCAGATTCCCCCGTAAGGTCTACGAGAAGGCAGTGCCGGGGGCGCCCCGGAGGGCGAGAGCGCCGCGGCCGGGAGGCTGCACTGCAGCGCGGAGCCCTCGGCGCGCGGCGGTTTATAGAGCCAAGCGGAGTGACGTCACCCAGGGGCGCGCAGGCCCCGCCCCGCCCCGCGCCAAGGCCCCGCCCCGCGGCGCGAACTACCATTCCCAGCCGCCTCAGCGCTGCGGCGCGTCCCCATAGGCTCCGTCCCGGCCAGCCCCGCCCCCGGCGGCCGGCCCCGCCCATTCCCGGAAGCCCCGCGGGCGCCCGGCTCCGCGCTGCCCGCACGTGGGTCGGGCCCCCAGCTCCGGGCGCCGCGGGCGGCGGGTCTGCGGGCAGCCGGGCCGGCCATGAGCCGCTACCTCCTGCCGCTGTCCGTGCTGGGCACGGCGCTGGGCGGCGGCGTGCTCCTCAAGTGAGTAGGCGCCGGCCCCGCGGCCGCGGTGGGGGGGTCGGAGGGCCGCGGCCCGGGGGCGCGGGCAGTCGGGGCGCCCCCCCCCACCCGCCGGCCGGGTCCCCCGCTCGCGCGCCAGCCGCGCCGCGGGACTGCGGGGCGCGCACCCGGGCTCGGGGAGGGCAGGTCACGGCCAAGGTCACCCCGGGAAGAGCCTGGCTCCGGCCTGTGTGAGCATTTTGGACTTTGAATTAATTCAGATCCCGTTGATCCCGCCCCACGCGCTGGGAGCTGCGCGGGAATGACTGTGCAGCCCGGTGGGTGGAAGGTGGGAGCTGCCGTGGTGTCTGCGTAGACGTTTGTCTTTCTGTGTCTCTCCCTCCGCTTGTCCTGCCCCCTTTGCGGAGAACCTGGGCAGGATACCGAATGCACAGAAAGGCCGCTGCATCCTGCTGGTTGTGGCTACAGGCTGGCCCTTCTCGCCCAGCTTGTGGGTTTGCTTCTTTCTGCAGTTAGGGGTAGCACCTAGTGACCCTACGGGCCCTTTAGGGTAACTGCCTGGAGGTGGCCCCGGAGGCATGCACATGCTTGTGGTTTGGGGCCTGAGGTGAAATCACCAACCTGAAAGATGGACCTGACTCTCCCGTTAGTCCCTGAATAAACTGCTCATGTCTTTACATCTCTAGCATCACCCCCCACTCTGCCCGCCCCGCCCCTTAAAAAAAAAACAACAAAAGAACCACTTTCCAAATTTGATCAAAAGGGAAAGAACACTATTTCCTTTAAATTTGCCTGTCTTTGGTCATGGTAAAGCCGGTCCTATCTTTCATAGGCTTAGCGGGCCTGTCCCTGACTTCCTCTGTGCGCTTCTTGGAGGGTGGTGGGGGGTGGGCAGTAGTGATTCTTGAGCACCTACTATGCGCTGGGCTGTCCCAGGCACTTCCTCTGTCTTGATTCTGGATCTTCGCATGTATTATCTTCCTGACTTACACGGAGGAAGCTCACCTAGGCTGGGTATGCTCAGAATTCTCAGCGAAATCCTGGTGGATCTGCAAACTGTGGCTGTGGAGGCCCCATCTGGTTGGCTTCCTGCTTTTGTAAATGAAATTGTATTGAGACACAACCCCGTCCAATTTCCTGTGGCTGCTTCACTGCCTTATTGGCAGAGTTGATTTGCTGGGACAGAGAACACCCCAGCTTGGAAAGGCTCACCACCAGGCCCTTTACGAAAAAGTTTGCTGACTCCTAGGCTAGTTCAAATTCAATTTAAAAAAGAAAAAAACAAACAAACAAACACCCAGCCACCAAATAGTCTATAACAGCCCTGCCCAGTAAAACTTCTTGCAAAAATGGAGATGTTTTCCCTTTTCACTGTCCTTTCGGGTCCCCGTACCCAAGTACCTGATGTGTGGTGATGTTCTTTTTCTGTGTGTGGTTACTGACACCGGGCTGAGTGCTGTTCGCACAGCAGCTCGTTAGCGGGTGGGCTAGAGTTCCAGCAAGTGTTCACGTACTTTTATTATTTGTTAAGGGAAGGAAGACAAGACTGTAAATCTCTGACTCGTTACTGTTCGGTTTCCCTGCTCTCTAAATAGTAACTCGCTTTTGGGGAAAGCTCTAGAAATCAACAATTCTTGTCCTAGGTGGCCATGGTTTTTATTTTGACCGTTTTCATTTTTATTCATGTGGTTGCCTTTCCGGTCTGACAAAGCGAACCCAAATAAATAACGTGCGGCAGCTGGCAGGATAAAACCGGAGGCTCCAAAGATACCTGACACCCTGGGGGCGGTGGGGAGGGGAGGTTCTTCTTTGATAATTTAGCTAAAATTAGCCTGGATGGCCGCGCTGCCCTTCTCTCGAGTGGGGGTGCCTGTGTCCATCGTCCCCCATGGACTGGGTGGCTGTCCTGATGTCGCATCGAGGATGTGGGTGCTGTGGGAGCACGGTGGTGCCACAGCTGTGCTGGCCCAGTCCTCAGCCATGACATGTCTTGGTAGATGTCTGGACCTTGGGTGGGCGATGGCCTGCATGTTCCAGCCGAGAGGTGTCATCACAGGGCTCTGGAGAAGAGGGAGGCCGCGGGCGGGGGTGACAGATTGGGGGCCAGCCGCTGGCTTGGGAAGTGGAGGAAGGAGCCACCAGCCAGGTGTGGCTGCAAAGGGTGCCTTGCCTAGACCCGGTGGCTGACACACTGGCCTCGGTGTCTCCTAGAGGCCGCGCCAGGCCAAGCTGTGGAGCGGAGTCACGCTTGCGGTGGAGCCCGGTGGTGTGGTCACAGCAGACCCGGAGAGGTGTGGTGGGGCCTGGCGAGATGCCCGCGGTCACGTCCGGTGCCCCCGCCAGCTGCGAGGACTGCGCCTGTGGAGCCACACCTGGTGTGGTCTTTGTTGTCTGCGGGGCAGGTGGGGCTGACGGTGCCTTATGCCTTGCAGGGACTACGTGGCCGGCGGGGCCTGCCCCAGCAAGGCCACCATCCCCGGGAAGACGGTCATCGTGACGGGCGCCAACACGGGCATCGGGAAGCACACGGCCCTGGAGCTGGCCAGGAGAGGTGAGGCCGGTGGGTGGGTTGGAGGCTGGGCCGAACCTGCCCTGGGCCTGGGTCAGGCTTTTGTGGCGTGTCTGATTTGGGTCTGCTCCTCAGGGATGGACCAGCCCTGGAGCAAAGCCCGGGGCTCCCGGGGCAGACAGAGCTTTTGGAGGTGTGGGGGGGTTTTGTCTGGGGGGTGAGGCAGGAGAACGCGGGGCCAGGCTTCTGGGTTGGGCCCTGGGCGCCCAGAGCAGCTGTCAGTGGGCCGGAGCGAAGGCTGCGGGAGACAGTTTCTGTGTGCCTGTCGGGCTGGGGGCCAGGAGGCAGGGTCCCTGCTGGTGTGGGCCTGAGCTGCCCGTCTGCCCTGGGGCCAGGGCCATGGGGGGCTGTGACGCCAGTCCCTGGCCCCTACAACCCACGGCATTTCCTTCTGGGAGGGGGCCCCGGTCTTTTCCCAGATAAGAACGAAGTTGGGCAGACCCCCCCATCCTGCAGGCCGGGCTGCCGGGGCAGGATGGACACATTCAGGGGTCCGGGGAGTCTGATTTGGACCGACCTAGGGGTGCGATATATGAGGCAGCTGGGACCAGAGGTGGGTGGGGTAAGCCTCGGATCCACCGTCAGCCTTGTTCCCTCCCGCCCTCCTGCAGTCCTGTTCCCTGTTCTTACTTGTCTGAGTTTCTCTTGTCAACACCTGTATTAAGCAGAGTCACACAGCACCTAAGGCGTCCCCTTCGCGATGCTCAGGATTCCCGCCGGGTTGGTAATCATCGCCCCTCTCAGTTTCGGAGAATTTTCCTCACCCTGCAATGCTGCCTATTTTTTGTGTGGCCATCACCCCCAACATCCCAGCTCCCCCAGGGAACCAGTAATTTGCCTTCTGTGCATTTGCCTGTGCTGGGCATTCTGTATAACTAGGGTCACACAGGACACGGTCTGTGTCGGGTTCTTTCACTGTCGTAGAGCTTCATCCATGACACGCCCGGTCAGTGCCGCCTTCCTTTTCATGGCCGAGTAATACTCCACCATGTGGGCAGACCATGTTTTCCGTGTCTGGTTTATGCATTCATCCGCCGATGGCGGTTGGGTCCCTTCCGCCCCTGGGCTGTGAGTGGCGCTGCCGTGCGCGTTCGTGTCCGTGGGCGCGTGTCCTCACGCAGTGCAGAGGGGTGGCACGTGTCCTGAGAAAGGCGATGGCACTGCTTGGCGGCCTTGTCGTGGCGTAGCCGTCACAGAGCGTGATGACGGGTCAGGCTTCCCCATACCGAGGGCCATCGAGGCAGGGCCCCGTGGGCAGCACACTGCCCTCCACGTGCCTGAGATGTTGAGATCTGCCCACTGAGGGCTGGATCTCATTTGTGTTCACGTTCTTACACGCCTGCTGCCCGGGCTTCCAGGGGGCAACATCATCCTGGCCTGCCGAGACCTGGAGAAGTGTGAGGCGGCGGCGAGGCACATCCGCGGGGAGACCCTGAATCACCGCGTCAACGCCAGGCACCTGGACCTGGCCTCGCTCAAGTCCATCCGAGAGTTTGCAAGGAGGATCATCGAAGGTGGGCGCTCGGGCGGGGCTCTGGGCGCAGGGTCTGAGGACCGGTGGGTGAGGCCGGGAGCCGGGGCATGGCTGGCGGGTGGCCCTCAGGCCCAGCCGTGGCCCGCGGGGAGCTGTGCTGTGCAGTCTCTACTGTGGGTACTGGGCAGTCACACCCCGCACACATTGCACTGTGCACGCCCCAGGGTATAGTCACGCTGTACACACACGATATTGTGGCCATATGCGATATGCACACTGCTGTTCTACACGTTCGGTGTACTGTGAGGTCTTCCACGGCTGGTATAAACTACGGACTGTGCAGCACAATCAGTATTCTGTATGGATACTACTGTGCCTCCACCTGTACTGCGGCCACAGGACTCTGTTTATACTGTCTGTGCTTTCTAACACACACAGTGTGCATGCTGGAGGGGCGTACTGTGTGTGTACTCTGTGTAACCTCCATGCACTGTACGGTCAGACCGTACACATATGTTCACGCTGTGTGCTACACATACTGCACAATCATGCATGATGCGTATCCTGTGATGTAGTCACGTTACACACAGTATCTAAACTCCTGTCAGCCATGCACCAATGATGTGTGTGTCCCCATGCGTTCACTGTGCTGTTCCGCCCGCTGTGTTGTCTGTGTACTGTCTGGAACGCTCTGTGGACTGCACATCACACAAGATGTGTGCGTGCATTCGCACTTTGTACACACGGTGCATGAAGTGTGGACGTGACTGTGTGGCCAGTGCAGGTGTGGACCCTGCCTGTGGCGCTGGTCGCTCAGCCCGGCTGTGTCTGTCCCCGTCTTCCAGAGGAGGAGCAGGTGCACATCCTGGTCAACAACGCGGCCGTCATGCGCTGCCCTCACTGGACCACCGAGGACGGCTTCGAGATGCAGTTTGGTGTCAACTATCTGGGTGAGGCCACGGGCGCGGGTGTGGTGTTGGCCTGGGGAGGAGGGGAGACCTCTCTGCTCCCCACGCAGGGAACCGGGATTGCCTATTCACCGCAGGAAGGCTCCGTCGGCCCCACAGGTCCTGCGTCAGCTTCTGGCCTTCTGTCTTGTCGTCCACCCTTAGTCTTAGTCTACGGGTCTTCGGCCGCACGGAGCCCTCTGACGCCGTCTTGTGTCGGCCCTGCAGTCCCGCCCCTCTGCCCTTCAGTCTCTGTCTTTCCGTGTCCCGGCCAGCTGTCCCCTTAAAGACGCTGGCGCTCTGTTATCGTGTGCCGGGGCAGTGGGCGCTGGGTAAGGCCCACCCCAAGGACCTTATTTCCTCGCTCACCTCCCTGAGGGCCTGTCTCCAGTGGGACCCGAAGAACTTCATAACACTCAGTGATCTCTACCATGAAAAAATGTTCACTTACTGTTTTTCTCTTAACAGACCCCGAGACACGATCATTATGCATTTCTAAATGATAATGCTACACTGGGGAGATGATTGTAAATAAAGCCTATTTCAGTCGGTTAGAAAGGCACCCTCTCTTCAAATAAGGCCACCATCTGAGAGACGGGAGGGTGGACTCTAACATGTTCTGGGGGGATGGTGAGGCCGGGCCCGCGGATCTTGTGGGTTGAGTAGAAATCCACCTGTCATGCACGTTGCTGTCACTTGTGTCCACTAGCTGGGGCTCGGTCATGTGGCCATTTGCAGCTGCATGGGGTGTTTCCCTGGGCGGTCTTGTGCATAGCTGTTCCACTGCTGAAGAAGAAATAAGAAAGCATTTGTGGCGACAAGTGACGTCACAGGGTTATTGCGGGGGTGACGTTTGGGGCTGGTGGTTAGGGCCGGCCCGGGCATTGTGGGACCTCGAGCAGCGTCCCTGACCTTCACCCACAGGTGGAGGTAGCCCCTCTTGTCCCTCTAGTTGTGATGCCCAGCGTAGCCCCCAAACCGTGCCCAGCACCCCCTGGGGCAGCGCCGGCCCCTGTGGAGAACGGCTGCTGGAGGGTAGCGGGAGCCGCGTCCTCAGCAGGGCCGTAGGAGCGGGGCGGGGTTGAGTAGAGGCCCCCTCTGTCTCTCTCCATCCAGGTCACTTCCTTCTGACCAACCTGCTCCTGGGCAAGCTGAAAGGCTCGGCCCCGGCGCGGATCATCAATGTCTCCTCCCTGGCCCACGTGGCCGGCCACATGGACTTTGAGGACTTGAACTGGGAGAAGCGCAAGTACGACACCAAGGCCGCCTACTGCCAGAGCAAGCTGGCCGTCGTGCTGTTCACCAGGGAGCTGAGCCGGCGGCTGCAAGGTGACCCCCCCTCCGCCTACTCCGATGCCCCACTCTGCCTCCTCGGGGGTGCACTTTGATGCCCTGCGCCAGGGCTGTCATGGCGGCTGCTTCTCACCCCCAGGGGGCCTTTGGCCCCACTGGAGACATTGGGGCTATGTTTCCAGCGAGTGGGGGTGGGGGTGTTCACCTAATAATTCAGGGGGCCATTTCAAACGCCAAGTGCTCTTATATGGGCTGGAAGAATGTAACTTGGGGTTCACAGATTCAAGTGGGAAACTTAAATTGTGCCCCCCAGGAGGGACAAAGAAACCAGAATTTTTTTATGGGCGGAAGAGGAAGGTGAGGTCAGTGGTTGGAGAGTGGACTAGTGCTCACAGAGCCGAGCTGTTCTTGGCTACGTGACTGGTCCCCGAGGCACTGGAAAGTGCGAGGAAACTGGCTCTGTCTCGGGCTGAAAACCCGTCATCAGTTCTCTCAGTTCTCGGATAACCGGTGCCTGTGGCTTCTTAGACCGGCTGCTTCTGGCGGGTCCCTGGGTCTCCGGCCCCCTTCATAGGAGGTGGGCGATGTGGTTCCCCCAGCAGCTCCCAGCACCGTGTCCGATGGCCCCTGGTGTCAGCTTCATCCCGGCGGCTGGTCTGGCCTCTAGCGGGCAGTCAGGGCTGTGCCCGGCGTCCTCCAGGGCCAGGATAAGCGTGGGCCCGCCTCCCTGTCCTTGGGCTGACACTGAGCCTGTCTAGACCCTGACCACTGCCATGGGCCTGGGTAGGGCAGCCCAGGGCCTGGCTTCTCCAGTCCTCCAGGGGTTTGCACTCGGCCGCCTCGCCAGACGGGAGCTCTGACACGGAGGTTCTGAGCAGGGGCACCATGTGGATTCAGAATGGGAAATAGCACAGGACGTGGTGCCCTGGAGCTTGGGTGAGACATGAGCATGGTGCCCCCCACCCCCATTGTCTGCCCAGGCACAGGTGTGACCGTGAATGCCCTGCATCCCGGCGTGGCCCGGACAGAGCTGGGCAGGCACACCGGCATGCACAGCTCTGCCTTCTCCAGCTTCACTCTCGGTGAGTCCTCCTGGCCCAGAGCACCTCGGCCAAACCCCTGCCCTCCCTGCCGGGAGCCTGGGGCCCTCCCTTGGGCATTAGGGCTTGAGGAGCAGAGCCAACAGTGTGTGAGTGTGCGTGTGTCCAGAGAGGGGGTTCCAAGCAATGGCTCCCGCATTCATGGAGACTAGGACGCTTCTGCATGCTGGCGGCCCAGGGAAGCAGGTGGTGTAGTTCGAGCCCAAACCCCAAAGCCCGAGAACCAGCGGAGCTGATGCTGGCGCCCCTGCTCCGGCCCTAAGACCTAAGACGGTGGGTGGGAGGAGACGGTGTCCCCTCAGGTGGAGTGAGCGTGCCCCTCCTGCTCCTGCTTCCTCCCGCCGCCGGCACCTGATTGCCGGGCCCAGCACATGGGAGAGCAGATCTCCTCCGCTCAGTCTGTTTGGGTCGCACCCTCACAGCTACACCCAGAAATCATGTTTTATTGCAGCCGGTTTGGGTTGCTCTCTGGGCCACCTTCCGCCCTCTTAAAACTGACACCATAATGAGGGACTGCCTGGGGCTCTGCTTTGCCCCTCCCGGCTGTCCTGGGGCTGAGGGGGAGCCCCTCTCCAGTTCACCTGGCCCTGCAGCCTCAGAATAGCTCCAGGAAACAATACCAGAGCCCAGGCTTTGAGTGATGAGCACCTGTGCCTGGGGGCTTGGGGGGCGGCCACAGAGCTGGCCGTGCTCAAAGTCAAACCAGCTTCCTCCCAGCTGGCTGGGCTAGTGGGAACAACCTCTTCCTTTCTGAGCCTTGGCCGCCTCATCTACAAAAGAGGCTGGTAGTCCACACCTCACAGTCCCTGGGAGGATGCGATGTGACTGCCTTTAAAAGGGCCTTGTCCATTGTACTGAACTTCCTGAAGTTAAAAAAGAAATTAAAAAAAAAAAAATAATTATAAAAAAAAAAAAAAAAAAAAAAAGGGCCTTGTCCAGATTTAAGGAGGATGGATAGGTGACTGGTATTTAAATCCTGGAAAACGGTGGGTGGGTGCTAGGTGTCCAGGATATAAGTAGTAAATAAAAGGATTTTTCAAAGCAGGATGGGTCAGGGTGAGGACTCAGCCATGATGGGGAGGAGGGAGAGCTTCCATTTACCTGGGAAAAGCTGGGGGGGACTTCCTGGTGGAGGTGGCTTCGTGGCTGGTCCCAGTGTCCTGAGGGGTTTGGCTGGGCAGGACCAGGGAAGGGAACTCTGGGTGGAGGGAACCCGGGGGCTCAGCCTGGGGGGTGCTCTGTGGGACTCTGGGGCACCTCCTGTCCCAGTGAGCGCCCCCTGCCCTCCTCTCTGAATGTGTGTGCACTGAATGCTCTGGGCTGCTTGCAGGCCCCATCTTCTGGCTGCTGGTCAAGAGCCCCGAGCTGGCCGCCCAGCCTAGCACATACCTGGCCGTGGCAGAGGAACTAGAGGGTGTTTCGGGGAAGTACTTCGATGGATTCAAAGAGAAGTCTCCTGCTCCTGAGGCCGAGGACGAAGAGGTAGCCCGGAGGCTTTGGGCTGAAAGCGCCCGCCTGGTGGGCTTGGAGTCTGGGGCGTCCTCTGTGGAGGCACGGCTGGCCCGCAAGTGACCCAGGGGCAGATGTGGAGGCCGAAGCGAACCTGCAGCACAGGGCCTGTCTCCCAGGGGTGCTGATGGCGCCGCCCCGTGGCTGGGGCTCCAGGTGGCATGGGCAGCAGGTGCACTGCGCCAGCCTGTGCTCGGACGCCGCGGCGGAATCTGCCCCGGAACCTCGAGAAGTGGAGATGCTCCCTGGGTTTGGGGACGGTGGCTTGTGAACTGGCCTGCCCTGTAGGGGAGGGTCACTGGGGAGAGACTGACTCACCCCTGCCGCGGGTAGACTCCTCCAGGCCCTGTGGGACTGAAATCAGAGACTGGAAACCGGCCCTGCAGCCTAGTCAGAGCTCCCAGGCTCCCCTCTGGCAGGGCAGGAGATGCAGGGAGCCCCCAGAACACCGCATCTTGTCCTGCTAGGAAGCCCTGGGTGTGAGTGTCCTCTGCTGCCGCCCCAAGGTGGAGGGGGCTGCCGCCTTTCCAGGGAACACTGGATGAATGGGGACTGTGTGCTCCCGCCAGGCTCGGCACTCAGCCCAGGCGCCAGGAAGCTCAGTAATCAAGATAAAGAGTGTTTTAACGTGAAAAAATATTAATATTTGTAAGAAACCCTAGAAATCTCACGGCAGAACTGAGGCTCCCAGAGGGGGAGGGGGTAGCAGGTGCCCTGGGTGGGGGGGGGCGTGCAGTGCCCGGACGTGAGGGAGCTGCTCTTAGAAATAAGGGGTAGCCCTGCCCACCCCCCAGGAGGCCGGGTCAGGGTGCCCTACGCACCTGTGCTCCGCAGGGACTGCCATACCTCACTGGGTGCTGTGTCTGTGGGCCTCTAGCCTCCCCTCCACCCGCCACGGCATCGCTCTCCGGGCTCTGTCCTGCCTGTACAGATCTGTCTGCCTTCAGGGTGTCCTGTGCTTATCAGCAGCCCGTCTGTCTGTCCTGCCCACATCCACCCGTCCACCTGTCTGTCTGTCCGTCCATCTGTCTGTCCTCCTGTCTACCCTTCCATCTGTCCATCCTGTCAGCCATCCTTCCACCTGTCTGTCCTTCCGTCCATCCATCTGTCCGTCATCCCGTCACGCGTGTGTCCGCGGGCGTGTGTTCTGAGCAGTGCTTCTGGCGTGATGCCGCAGTGTGGACGTCCGGTGTTATGAGGCCGCGGCTGGTGGGAAATGCTGGCTTCGGGCCGGTCACCCGTCACCAGGCCATGGGGAGGTGGAGGCCGCCGCTTCTGGCCAGACGGCTGCCACGCCGCATGGCCGCTTGCGCGTGTGGATGTGCTCACGTGGTGGGGCGCAGGGAAACAAGTCGGGGGCAGCTGTGCCAGTGTGGTGTCTGGGCTTCCCTCCGAGCCGTGGTTCTCTGGGGCGTGTGTGGATCTCCCAGGGTGGCTCCCATGGCCACAGCGCGGCCATCAAGGCAAGAAACATCACTGGCCGAGGCCTGATCTCTGCAGACACACTCGTCAGTAGTGACCACCTTTCTTTTCAAATGAGACGTTTTTACAAATGGAAGTAACATGGGGTCACACAGCCGCTTCAGGTGCTTCCTGTCTGCCCTCCACGGTGTCCTTACAGCAAAAGGCGACCCCCTTTTTCCTGACCCAGGACTCATCCTGGGTCTCATCGTGCCCCCTCCCCAGTCTCCTGCAAAGGGAGCAGAGTGTGTGGTGAAGTGGGCTCCTCGGGGAGCGCCCCTATCTTGCCCCCACTGGGTGGTCCCGTCCTCGTGGTTGCGTCCAGGTCAGGCGCTTGCTGAGGGCACCACAGGGCCGCCCAGCAGGCCGCGAGAGCGTCTTGTCCTCCCCGTAGCTGTGGCCGTCACTCAGCCCTCTGGTGGAGACGATCAGGACACAGCTGGCCGGGGAGGGGCACGGAGCTTCCCTCCTCCACGCATCTCTGCCCGCCCTCCTGGTAGAGGCCTTTGCGCCCACTGTCTGTGCCCCGCCTTCTCTGGTTTGTGGGTGCCTCGTCTTCCCACTCTGAGGAGTGGGCAGGTGAGTGTGACACAAGACCTGCCACTCCCTCCTTGACTTGGCTTCAGGGCTGGCATCCGGGTCACCGCGTCGCTGGGCCCGGCGTGTCCCCGCTGCCGGCCCCAGCCCTGGCTGTGCGCTCGGGTGCGTCGGTGGATTTGCTGCCGCAGTGCTCTGGAGATCAGCCCCAGGTAGGGTCTCCGCGGGCTGAACTCGAGGTGTAGCCGGCTGTTCCCTCTGGAGGTTCCGGGGAGAAGCCGCTCCCTGCGGGCACCGCGTGGCTGGAATGCGCGAGACTTCTCTCGAGCCTGTCATGTTTCAGGACCCCCGGGTTCCGTCAGCCCACCCTGAGCGTCCGGGATCAGCTCCGCCCGGGGCGCCGGCCCATAGCAGCTGTCCCGTCTGCTCACCTGATCCCCAGGCCGGACAGTCGCACATTCGTGGTGTCAGGGATGAGGATGTGGGCGTTTTGGGGGGGCGGGACACCAGTCTGCCTTCCCCGCTGTCTCATTTCGGAGCCTGACTCCTCGGCTGTTAGCACGTCTCTTCCCCCTCCCTCCCTCGCTGGGGCAGTCACAGAAATGAGGGGTTCAGTCGCTAACACCCCAGCACACTTTTTGTTTTTTTTACTGGGGGTATCTTAGGAAGAAGAATTAGAATCCAAAGTCTCATTCTGGAGCCTGCCCATTTTGGGGTCTAGAGGTTTATCGAAAGGAGTGGGGGCCCAGCCCCGGCGGGTGGCCACACAGGATGTGTGTTTTGTGGACGTGGGCCTGTGGCTTGGGGCTGGTTCTAGGAACCGACGCTCACCCCAACATCTGCTTCCCTGACAAAACCGAGAAACCCCAACCCCCACGTCGACATCACCCCCGCTGACTGCCTCGAGGCTTTGAAGTGGCTGTGGAAGCCCAGTTTCTCAAGAGATGAAAACCCCAAAGCCACGAAGCCCAGGTTGGGAAGGAGCCGCAGGCCGACAAGCTGAGCGCGAAGGGTGCTGGGGCACCTGTGCTTCCTGCTGCCCTCGGGGTGGGGGCCACCACAGGCCGCGGGGATGGTTGCTACGCCCTGCAGGCAGAGGAGCCCCCGCAGCGGCCGTGCCCCGTGCCCCGACAGTGATGCAGCTTGGCCCCAAACGTGTTGGGGGGGTGGGTAGGAGATGAACATACCTCCGGGTGAAGAAAGGAAATGAGGCCACACAGGTCTTGGCCCAGGGCTGTGTATAGGGGAGTTAAATTTTAGAGTCAGAGAAGTGGGTTAGGGGCAAAGAATGGACTTGACTGAGGTCTTTGACGGAGTCACGAGATTGTGGAGTCACGAGATTGTTCGTTCATGGGGGTGTGAGGCCTCAGGCGCCGGGCTTTGGATCTGTTGGTGCACCCCCGCCTCCTGGGGAAGCCCCTCCTCTGCATTCTTAGTCTCCAGCTGACCTTGGAGCTCAGCTCAAGGTTGTCCATAAACCTCCATTCTTTGCAGTGTCTCTAAAGCAAATCTCAAAAAAAAAAAAAAAAAAAAAATCCAGATTTGTTTTATTCTCTTGCACGTTAGGGTCTGAGGCCCCTTGGCCCATGTAGGCGCCATCTGAGCCGCGAGGAGGGGAGCTGTTTCCTGGGAAGGCCACCGCCCCTCAGGGCTCAGGTGCAGTCCCCGGGGTTGCCCAGAGGCGAGGGACTGAGAGCCCAGCATCCAGAGCCCTTGGTGGGGGCGGGGGCAGCCTGGGCCCTGCGGGGTGTTGAGTGTCCTCCGGTCTCCACCTCCTCCTCAGCTCTGTAAATTGCCTGGGAAGGCGCCCATGACGTGGGTGGTCGGGGTCCGCGTCGGGGCGGGGGAGCGCGGGTGGCAGTGTGCCTGGGGGTGTTCCCGCACCGGGCTGGGTGCCCAGCATCCGCCTGGGCTGGGGTGAAGCAGCTTCGGGCTGCTGAGCAGGGCAGCCTGCCCCCTGACACGCAGACTTCCCTGGGGTGGGAGAAACCAGGCCGGGGTGCGGCCGTGCAGGGGCTGAGCTTGGGAAACGGGCTCTGGGCCCATGGGCTCCATCTCCTGTAACAATGGAGGCTTCTGGGTAAATCGAGGCAGCAGTTGGCAATGATGGAAGCGACAGGGGACCCCTGCTGGCTGTCACTGAAGTAAAGTCAAGTCCAGGTGCGCCAGAGTGGAGGGTGCATCCCGGGCAGTGCCCCCGCGGCACCCTGAACACTCGGGCTCGAGTGTGGGCAGGGAGGAGATGGGCCATGTCATACCGCAGCCCCTGGGAACTCTTTCACCACGTGGGTGTGACAGTGTGAGAGAAACTGTGAAGACGGGAGACAGGCGCCGACCCTAAAACCAGCACCAGGTGGTCCAAAAACAAAATACAATCCCCATCCAGACAAAGCAAGGCCTCGCTGCAGCCAGGACAGTGGCTTTCTGGTGAGAGAAGAGTTAAGAGTCGCGAGAGGCACCTCTTGGGCCCTGGGTGATGAAGGGAAAAAGGAGGGGATTTCGAGAAAAAAGGAAACTAAAGACTAAAAGCCTCTAGCTCCAATCTCCTCCCCACCCACCGTCTAGCCAGAGGCTCCTGTCCGTGGCCAGGAGAGGGCGCGCTTGCACTGAGGATCTTCATAGCAGCAGGTGCGCCTGGTGCTCAGGAGCCGCGGCCTCCCGAGGCAGGGACGCGGGGACACGGAATTTACCTGCCCGGCTGCGGAGAGCAGTAAGAAGCTGAGGGCTCAGTCGGGACCCCAGAGTGGGATTGCCAGGTCACCTGGGAACCGGGCAGGTGACCCTAAGAGGATTTCCGGGCTGTTTCTCACCCTGTTCTGGCAGCATTCATCGCACAGGTCCAGAGGTGCAGCCCCCCCACGTGTCCATCAGCGGATGAAGGGATGAGCAAGCCAGGCCTCCCATGCCACGGAGTGCGTTTCAGCCTTGAAAGTAAGGCATTCCTTATTACTCAGCATTCAAAAAAGATAAGCACATGCCATTTGCAGCAACATGGATGGCGCTGGAAGGGATCATGCTCAGCGAAATAAGCCAGAAAGAAAAAGAAAAATACCGGAGGGTCTCACTCATAGCAGGAATCCAGAAAACCTAAATAAGGGACCAGGAAAATGAATAACTATAAGAAAGTGAAAATCAAAATCAACAAAAAACTATGAACCAGAGACACTCTATGGATGATGGGGGGTGGGGAGGGGAGGGATTGGGGTCAAAATAAGGGGGTTGCAATTGTATGGGGAATATAAAAATAAAATTTATTATTTTTTTAAAAAAAAGAAAGTAAGGCATTCCTGGGCCTCCCCGGTGGCGCAGCGGTTGAGTGCTGGGTTGCAAAGCTGCCTGCAGCCTCTGCAGCACCGGTTCAATCCCCGGCTGCTGGGCGAGGGTCCCACATGGCGCGACAGACCTTGCCTGCCGTCCGCTGCTCCCCTCCGCAGTGTCCTTCGGTCCTTCTGCCTGCTCTGCTCCCCGCTCTGGCTCTGGTGGATTCTCTCTCCCTCCTGCGCTTCTGACTGTACCCAGTGCTTGTATAAATAAATAAATCTTTAAAAAAAAAAAAAAGAAAGTAAGACATTCCTGATGCAGGGACAGAGCGAGTCCGGCCAGTCACAGGACAGGTCCCGTGGCCATGATGGGCCGACCCAGCTGGGCAGTGGCAGCCCTGGCTGCAGGGAGGAGACGTGGCCACTTTTTTAACGGGACAGACTTGTTCGTTGCATCCGCCCTGCGGGTGAGCTCTCCAAGGCATGGCCGGTGACTGCGCATCTGGCACAAGGCTTTGCAGACACTTGCAATCTGCAGCCTCACAAGCCCAAGCTTGGGCTGCAAAGGTCCCTTTGTTCTGAGCCAGTAAGCACCGCAGAATTCCCTGCAGCTCTGGTTTTGAAGTGAGTTTCAAGTGGTTGCCTGCTGGGTCCTAGGGAAAAATTTGTTTTTATAATAAAGTGACCGAGGCAGTTGCACTAGCTTTGCCCTTTCCTGGCTGTGTTGAGCTTGGAGGCCGTGCCCGGGCTGAGGTAACTGACCACTCAGCACCCAGGCATGGACGCCGCCTCCTCCCAGCCACGGTGGGCCAGGGGCCACGGACGGTGAGGCCAGGGGTTCTTCATTTGAACATCAGAGAGTTGGCTGAACGCGCAGTGTGGCATCAATCATTTGAGCCCCCTACCAGCGGGCAACACAGCGGCATTAAATTCATGATATCGGATGCTGTCTCCACTGCCTGTACCCAGACGTTCTTGTCGCCCGGACAGAAACTCTCCCATCAGACAGCTCCTCACCCCCGCCCCGCCCCGCCCCGGCACCGCCTTCTGCTTTGTGTCTCTGCCCCGCCCGTCCGGCACACCTAAGTGGCATCGTATGGTCTTCTGTGCCTGGCTCCGCACTTGCTGTCCTGCTTCCGGGCTCCATCTGTGTTGTGGCCTGTTAGAATTTCACTCTTTAAAAAAAAAAAAAACCAAAATTTTTATTGACTTAGCATTACTTTGCAGCACTCTCTCAGTTTCGGGAGCACAGCCTCACACCTCAGGATGTGCCGATACTGCTCTGCCCACCACCAGGGTTCACCCCTCTTGGATGGCCCCCTTCCCCCCATCCCCCGCCCCCTCTGGTGACCACCATATTTTTCTGAAAGTCTACAGGTTATTTTGTCATGTTGGTCAGTTTGTTTGCTTTATTTACATTCCACGTGAGTGAGACTGCCAGCAGTTGTCCGGCTTTCTGACTTTTTTTGCTGCGCGTAATCTCCAGTTCCGTCTGTGCTGTTGCAAACGGCAAGGCCTTTAATAGCTGGGTAGTATCCAGTGTGCGCACCCACACTTCTTCATTCACTCCTCTGCGCATCTGGGTTGTGTATGTGCCTTGGCTGTTGTGAATAGTGTTCCTGGGTGGCATTCCTTTTTAGGGCTGTATAATATTCCATTGTGTGGCTGGACCTCAGTTTGTTTCATCCATCAATGGCCAGTGAGTTGTCTGTGCGTCTGGGCTCTGGAATAATGCTGAGTCATGCTGCTGTGAGCACAGATGTACATGTGGTGGAGGAAGTCCCGGCTTTGCATTCTTTTGAGGTTGTATCCAGGGTGGAGTTGCTGATCATGAGGTGGTTCTTTCATTTTTGAGGAACCACTATACTGTCCTCACAGCTGCCATGGCATCGCCACCAGCAACCCCGAAGGGTCTGACTTCTCCACATCCTCACAGCACCGGTTATCACCTGCCTTGGCTGGTGTGACTAGTGCTGCTGAACGGCCTTCCCTTTACGGCTCAGTAATACGCCATTGTGTGGCTGGGCCAGAACTTGTTTGTCCCAGTGGGCCGGCCATCCTGCAGGTGAAAAGAAATATCTCCGTAGTTTTTGTTATTTTTAGGTTTATTTATTTTTTAAAGATTTATTTTTATACAAGAACTGGAGTACAGGCCAGATGCGTGGGAGGGTGAGAGGATCCACCAGAGACAGAGCGGGGAGCAGAACGGGCAGACTGATGAAATATGCTGCTGAGGGGAGCAGCGGGCGAGAGGTCTGCTTCGCCATGTGGGATTCTTGCTGGCCAGCCGGGATTGAGCCCGCACTGCATATGCTGCAGACAGCTTCACAGTGTGATGCTCAACCGCCTGCACCACCAGGGAGGCCCTAGTTTTATTTATTTATGCATATAAAAACTGGGGTGCAAGCCAAAGGTGCGGGGGTGACAGGACTCACCAGAGACAGAGTGGGGAGCAGAACAGGTGGATTCACTGAATATGCTGCTGAGGGGAGTAGCGGGGAGACAGGAGAGGTCTGCTGCACCATGTGGGTCAGCCAGGATCGAACTCAGGCTGCAGTGGCTGCCAACAGCTTCATAGTGCTGAGACATAACCTCTGTGTCCCCAGGGAGGCCCCACTTGGTAGTTTTGATGTGTGTGTTCCCGCTGACTGTCAGGGAGTTTAGAGCTCTGGGAATGGGCACCCCCCCCCAGCAGGCAGATCTGTGACTTGGGGCTGGTGGCAGGAGATAGTGGGGCTCCTCGGAGCTCGTGTGCAAGTCATTCCGCTGGGGATGTGGTTCCCGCCCAGCGGGCCCCAATCAGGAAAGGCCGGGCTGCGAGGCAGCGTGGGGTGAGCGCCTGCCTTGTGCTTGTCATGTCCGGTGTCTCTGCCCAGTGCCTGTGCTTCTCCTCGTCCCAGTGTTCAGGACGGGCTGAGGAACCATGTCCCCGTCCCTCCCCGCCCTGCTCTGCCTTGGTGAGTCCTGGCACACGGGGCAGAGAACCGTAGCCTCGGACATCAGCAGGAGCCGTGGGGCCAGGGCGTCCCGACAGGGAGGCGGGGAACCGGAATCCCGGGGGGTGCAGGGTTTCCTCGGAGGATTCCCGCTTAGGGCTGGGTCACGGGCGGGGCCCCCCTCAGCTCTCCCTCCGCCCCGGCCTTTCGGAAAGTGCAGGTGCAGTGACATGGGGACAGATTTTAGCTTAGTTGCTGGCATGGCTGGTGGTTCTGGGCAGAGATGCGCCGCTGCCGCTGGCCACAGCTGGACGGGCTATGCGGGCCCAGGGGTGCTGCAGGCGCTCTCGGGGGTGTCACCGAATGGGGTGCGTGTAGAAACAGGTGCAAAGGAGGCTCCGGGCCGGGGAAGGGTGATGCTGGGGACGGGGCAGGCTGAGTTGGGAGCCGGTGCTGCCAACAACATGCGGCGTGGACTTGCAATCAGCCGGGCGAGCAGGTCTCGGGGCTGTCCCCGCGCAGGGCCGTGCGGTGGGGAGGTGGTGGGGGCCGGCGGCGGCGAGCTGCAGCGAGGCACCCGCTGCGCGCCGAGGCCCGCTGCGCACAGTACAGTGGAAACAGTTGGTAGGTCTGGAGCCTGCTGAAGGCCTCCGGCCAAGGGACCGGCGGTGGGGCCTCGGGCTGTCCTGCTGGGGCCCAGGGGGGGCTGCCCGCCCATCTGCGGTGCTTCGTTATTCCTCCGGAGCTGACCCCTCGGGGGCAGGGCGCGGAGGCCAGCGGGAGGGACAGTTGAGCTGCAGGGATGGGGCGTGCCCCTGGCTCGCTCGCTCCTGACCGGCGGGACGTGTCTCCGTGTCGTGTGTGCGTGTGCGTGCGCGCGTGTGTGCATGCGAGAGAGAGAGTGTGTGTGTGGAGGAAGGAGGTTCCCTGCTACAAGGCAAGGCGCCCACTTCAACTGAATTTCCGGTGAGCGGCGAGAGCACGCACAAGCTGAACCCACCCCTCTCGGGCACATGCTGTGCACGGAAAAATAGTCACCGTTTTTCTGAAATCCAAATTTAACGGGGAGTCCTGCTTTTTGGGCTCTATCTGGCAACCCGAGAGAGGCTTTTAACCGGAGAGGAGTTAGCTCAGGTGGAAGGGGAAGCGGGGCGGGCGGCCCCCCCTGTCCCCCTCACTCCCGCGCGGGCCGGGGTGAGGGATGCGGGTGCGTGCCCGGCCCCCGCGCTGCCAGCCGCCTCCCTTCCTTCTTTCCAGGGCTGTGTCTGGGGCCGGCGACCGCGGTGCCTGAGGGTGAGTGGGGGTGGGGCTCCCCCTGTCCAGCGCCCGAGGGTGGAGGGAGGGCTGGGCAGGCCGCGGGCAGCGCAGGGGGAAGCCACCGGCCCGTCCCTGTCCCTTGCAGGCGCGCTCCCCAAGCCCTCACTGCAGGCGCTGCCCAGCCCGCTCGTGCCGCTGGGGCAGCCGGTGACGCTCCGCTGCCAGGGCCCCCCGGGCGCGGCCTTGTACCGCCTGGAGAAGCTGCGCTCGAGCACCTACAAGGACCAGGCGGTCCTCGCCGTGGCCGCCATGACGCAGGAGGCCGCCGGCCGCTACCGCTGCTCCTACCAGGACGGCTCGCGGTGGTCCCCGCCCAGTGACCAGCTGGAGCTCGTGGCCACGGGTAACGCGGCGCCGGCGGGGTGGCCGCGGGGCGCTCGGTGGGGGCTGCAGACGGGAAGCACCCCCAAAGTCCCCGGCCTCACCGGGGCTGAGTGGACCCCCCACTCCCCTGTGAGGAGGGGGTTGTTAAGGCTCCCTCCAAAAAGCGGGGGGCGCGGCCCTGGGCTGAGGCGCGGGGGCAGCCGCCCCTGACCGGCACTGTCCTCCCCACTGACGGGCTGGGGGCCGCTCGCTCTCCCGACACACACAGGGCCCCCCGCTGACGTGTGGGGCTGTGGGGATGGAGCTGACGCTGTCGTGGTCTCGCAAGGCCCCCAAGCGGCTGCCTCCACGGGGCGTGAGAGCTGAAAGTAGGTTACGCCGGTCGTGGGCAGGGTGAGGGGGGCCTGGACCCCCAAATCCGCCTGCTCTACATGGGTCCTGCCGGCCGCCGTGTAAACACGGGCGTGAGCGCCTCCGTGGAAGAGGAGTTGGGTGCAGCGAGTGTGCAAGAGAGAGAAGAGTAGTTTCCAGGGAGACACCCGCGGTCACCCCTCCCCTCGGGGGCGGCTGCCTGGACGGGCAGGGCCGGCCCAAAGCGGTGCTCCTGAGCCCCAAAGCCTGCCCACGGCTACGGCCCCAGGGGAGGCGCCCGGGCCGGGCAGGGCAGGGAGGAAGAGAGCGAAACCAAAACCCACGTTGAGACACAGGCCACACGGTCGCCCCCCTCTGTCTCTTCAAGTGTCCCTTCCCTATCCCCGGGGCCCGGGTCCCCGCCCCAGGCCGTCTCTGCTCCCCGTCTCTCCCTTCTTGCCCCCCACCCCCGCCGCCGGCTCAGCGCCCCTCCCTGCGGGCCCGAGCCGCCCTCCCTCGGGCCCACCCCGGCCTCCAGCTGCCTCAGCATCTCCATCCGTTGTCCCCGCTTCATAGTGGAGGACCCAGACCTGGACATGGGGGTGTGTCCAGGATGATGCAGCCCCTGAGCGGCAGCGAGGGTGCGGCCGGCCGCCACTGCTGTGAGCAAGTGGCGGAGAGTGGGTCCCCTGGGTGGGGAGCCCCGGAGAGCCCCAGCCCTCGAGAAGGGCCCCCCGGGGCGCTGGCAGTGACAGCCTCTCTCCCAGGCGTGTATGGCAAGCCTGTGCTCTCGGCCAAGCCCAGCCCGGCGGTGTCCCCCGGAGGGGACGTGACGCTGCAGTGTCACAGCCAATATGGCTTCGACCGGTTTGCTCTGTACAAGGAGGGGGACCCCAGAGCCGCCCAGAAACCCGAGAAGTGGTACTGGGCCGACTTCCCCCTCGTCACGGTGACGGCGGCTCACAGCGGGACCTACCGCTGCTACAGCTTCTCCAGCGCCAGCCCCTACCTGTGGTCGGCCCCCAGCGACCCCCTGCGGCTCGTGGTCACAGGTGAGGGGGCAGGGCGGGGCGGGGGGGCTGGCTGGTGTGGGCCTCAGCTCCCACAAACTCACTGGCTTTGTCCATCAACTCCCTTCCGTTCTGGAGGCCGGAAGCCCAAACAGGTGGCATTTGGGATAAAGTGAGGGTGTCCCCTGGGCTGTTCCTTCTGAAAGCTCCAGGGGGGATCCATCTCGCCCTTCCCCAGCTTTCTGAGGCCGCCTGCCTCCCCCCAGTGTGGACAAGGCCAGCGTGGGGGCTGGGGTGGACGTGGGTGGGTGGCTGCCGGCGGTGGGAGGTGGAGGGGCTGGGATTGGCTGCTTCAGCTCCCCCTTCCACAGTACGGGGTGTCTACTTCGTTCCCCAAAGCATATCCTGCTGCTCCTGGCTCCCCCACTTCCTAGAAGACGAGAGCTGGTTTGCCTTCGGGAAAGAGGCAGAGTGTGGCCACAGAGACCCGGGAGAAGGGACAGGCAGGCATCGCCGTAGGCGGCCCATCAGCCCTTGAGCTGTTGCCGTCCACCAAGGGCCAGACACTGAGCTGCTTCAGACCCATTTTCCCGATGAGGAAACTGGGGCACAGAAATGTTATAGTCTTTGCTCAGCTAACCCACAGTGCCCACAGCGGACAGCACAGACTCTCCTTTCTGCTTCCTCAGTTACTGATGTGCCCACCGTCCGGATGCCCACAGACTCTCCTGCCTCCGTGCCAGGTAAGTTTTGGAGTCGCTCCCCCCCCAATCTGGGGTAGAAGATACACGGATGCCTCCTCCTATTTCTTTTTTTTCTTTAGATCTCGCCATTTAATTCACCATCTCTTTCACAAACTTGCTTTATAAAATCCCCTATTTCTGCCTGTCAATTTTATCATTTTGGGGAATTTTGTCTGTAAATGGACCCACGAGTGTGGGCCTCTTTGAGATTGTCTTCCTGCCCTCAGCATAATGCCCACAAGCGCCATTCAAGTTGCGGCATGCAGCAAGCCTGTTCCTTTTTTATGGCTGCATAATATTCCACACACAGCACGTACTACCCCTTTTCTAATGGAATTCCCAGGAAGAGAAATGGCAGAGAACAAATATGGCTCCATCATAAACACATCCTCAGAAGCAGCCACCGCCATCAACAACATAATTTTCCAGGCTGAGGGCCTCAGGAAATTCTTTGGCATACCCATCAAAACTCTAGGAAGCCCTTGGTCAAGGTCGTGGCCTTGGCCAAGGAGGCCTCTCCTGTGTGCTGAGGCTCTTTCTCAGCTCAGGGAAATCTGCTGACTCACTTCTTGCTGTGTAAACTGAGGTGTGAGTCGCATCCCAAGAGATTCAACACACCCTCTAGCGTGACTGGATTCATACTCTTAGGGAGTTCGACCACAATGTGGGTGAGGATTCAAGGAGGTCAGGGGCGGGTGGGGGCGGAGAGTGGTTGCTGCCTGGATGCTGCCAGCGGCTCCGAGGCCTCAGGGTGGGGTCACCGTCGGCCCAGCAGCTGCATCGCTGGGTGTGCCTCAGTACAGACAGCCGTCCACACGAAGGGGCTGACCTGCCTCTTCTGGACAGGCGTGGAGGCTCCAGGGAGCCCAGGTTTCTGAGAAGGGATGTGGAGGGCAAAGACCACCGGGTGGGCCAACATTATCCACTTTCTCCTCCTCCTCCTCAGAGCTCCCAGAAGCCTCCAGGAAGCCGAACATGTCTGTCACAAGCAGGGCCTCCGCCACAGGTGCGCATTGGGCTGGGCACTCCCCGGCACCCCGGATCAGTTTTCCGTGGGTCAAGAAAGCCGCCTGGCCCTTTCCAGCAAGGCCCGTAGCTTGCAGATGAGAGCGGATGGGGGTGGCCTGCGCTGGGGCCAGGGGAGCCCTCTGGGTAACGCGGCCCCTCACAGGACAGTGGGGCGGGGACCATCGGGGCCACTGCCCCTGTCTTCAGGCTTGGCTGTGCGCCCCGTGCTTCCCTGTGCGTGGTGCTTGTGTTCCATGTGGGCACAGGCCCGGACGGGCCGCCCAGGGCTCCCTCCTGCTGCGGTTCCCCTTTCTCTGGAGGAAGCCTCACCTGCCCTCAGGGAGTTCAACCCGGCGGAGACCCCGGACCCTCGCCAACCTTCTCTGCTTTCCTTTAAGGCCCTGGGCTGTTCGTCCCCATCCCCCCCTTCAAAGTCCGGCCCCCAGTGGGGTGTCCCATGTGCTGCCAGCCCCCGGGGGCCTCATCCTGTCTGCAGGCCTCTTGCTAGTCTGGGTCCCTCCGTGCTGCAGCCTCTGGGTCTCCACGTGCAGCCCGAGTCTCGGGCCCTGTGGCCGAGGGTGAAGCGCCAGCGTGGGGGCTGCCCCGTGGGCCCAGCTCAGCACCCACGCTAACGCTCGGCCACCGACAACCTGTGACTTGAGCGCTGTGCTCCTTCAACAGCGGCGGCCCCGCCCCGAGTGTCAGTCCTTTCCTGGGGCCCACGCCCCGTGCAGGGGGAGGGAGGGCCTGGACGCCTGATGGGAGGGTCACACTCGCCCTGGCCTCAGAATTCACCCCAGGCCCCTGCTTCGGGGGAACAGGGGCAGCCGGCCTCACCCCTTTGCACTCTCTGATTTCCAGAGTCTTCTAGGAGTGTCCTTGTCGCTCCGAAGGGGTCCGTGGCCCCAACCGGTGAGTTAAGGATCCTCGCGGGTCCCCCTTTCCGGTCCCTGAGCTCACTCCTCTCTGCAGAAGCTGCAGCTCTGTGGTCTCGGCCCCGGGGTGTAGCCAGGAGGGGAGGGGCAGGTCAGCCCCGACTCGGGCCTGGGCGATGAGGTCGGTGGGGCGCTGAGATGATCTCCGCGGTCAGAGAAGGAGATTCCCCGTTAACAGGCACTGCCCGGAGCAGCCTGGGGCAGCCCTTGGCGGGGCCGAGTCTCGAGGGCTCCAACCAGGCGTCCAGAGCTGGGTTTCTCTGGCCAGGGTCTTTGGCGAGGAGCGGAGGGGCCTCCTAGAGGAGGTGGGCGCAGACCAGGGGTACGAGGGGGGCCGCTCGGATGGGCCGGGCGGTGCCAGACGCGGCTCCCCTCACGGCTCCATCCTCCCCAGGTCCCTCCCCAGGTCCCTCCCGGCTGCGCTACACGCAGGGCAACCTGGTCCGCATGGGCCTGGGCGCGGCGCTTCTGGTGCTCCTGGCGGCGCTGCTGGCCGAGGACTGGTACAGCCGGAGGACGCTGCCCGCGCGGGCCCGGGCCGTGCACAGGCCGCTGCCGCCGCTCCCCCAGCCCCAGAAGTCCCCCCGCCGCCAGGACGGGGGTCCCCGCGGAGGCCACCCCTAGGGCTCAGGGCCTGGCGCCCCTCAGCCGCGAGGACACGCGGCACGCGCCCGCCGGCGGCCCTGGGGACGCGCCTCGGGCATCCTCGGCGAGGGCCCGTCGCTGGCGCAGCCATCGAGGAGGGCGCCCTGGAGGAGGAGCCGCGCGCCCACGCTTCTCAGCGCCCCCTGGTGACGGGCAGCGCGGTGGGGGCGTCACCAGGCGATAGGAGCTTGGGGGCCCGTGTCGGACACGCTTTCCTTGCTGCTCAAAGCTGGGGGCGCACGGCTCGCGGCGACCCGCGGGCAGCCACGCCCGAGGCGGCCCCGGGCGCTTCCTCCTGCGCCCGCGTCCAGGGAAGGACGCGCTCGGGCCGTGGGGGCGCCGGGGGCCGCGGCCGGGGTTGGGCTGCGCTCGGCCGAACATCTAAGCCCCGCGCGGCTGGACGGAACCGGGGGACGAGCCGGAGCAGGGGAGGCCCGCACAGCCCCGACGCCGCGGCCGCGTCCAGCCCTCGCAGCGGAGGCGCCAGGGCCCGGGTCGGGGGCGTCGGGGAGGCTGGGGGAGGCCGCGGTCGGGGCCGGGGCGCTCGCGGCCGGCCCCCGCCCCGAGCCCGCCGCCAGGCTCCCGCGGGCCTCGCGCGTCCAGCGCCCCGGGGTGGCTTCGTGGGTCCCCGGCGAGGGGCAATAAAGCGCAGAGTCAGCGACCGCCCGGCGAGACTGCGGGTCCGAGACGGCGCTGGCCGCGCGGGGCGAGGAGCCGGACGCGGGGGACGGGCAGGCGCGAGAGCGACGCGCACGGGGCGGCCTCGGGGCTCCCGCCGGCCACGCCCTCGACTGACCAGCGCGGCCGGCCGGGCGCGGGGACTCCGCGGGGGCGGGGCGGCAGCGTGGGCTTCGGGGCGCCCCCAGGCTCCCAAGAGCGGCGGCCCCGGGGCCTCAGCGTCCGCGTGACCCCGCGTTTCAGTGCGGGGCGTGGGTTTCCGGGCTGAGCTCACGCGCCCTGACGCTCCACGGCCACGCAGGCGCGTCCCGCCGCCCTCGGCTCATTAAAGAGTAATTAGTAAGTAATTAAAGCATCATTAAATAGTAATTAGCGTGTAATCAAATGATCATTAAATGCTCATTAAATAGTAATTAGGGAGTAATTAAATGATCATTAAATAGAGATTAGTAAGTAATTAAATGATCATTAAATATTGATTAACTGCCCGCAGCCTCTGCAGCGCCGGTTCGATCCCCGGCTGCCCCCGGCCACCGGAGGAGGGTCCCGCATGGCGCGCAGACCTCTCCTGCCGCCCGCTGCTCCCCTCAGCAGTGTCCTTCGGTCCTTCTGCCTGCTCTGCTCCCCGCTCTGGCTCTGGTGAATTCTCTCGCCCTCCCGCGCTTCTGACTGTACCCAGTGCATGTGTAAATAAATAAATAAATCTTCAAAAAATAATAATAATCAGTGAATAATTAAATGGTCATTAAATAGCAATTAGTACGTAATTAAATCATCATTAAGTGATCATTGAATGATCATTAAATAGTAATTAGTAAGTAGTTAAATGATCATTAAATAGTATTCAGTAAGTAATTAAATGATCATTTAATGGTCATTAAATAATAATTAGTAAGTAATTAAATTATCATTAAATAATCAGTAAATAGTAAGTAGTAAGTAATTAAATGATCATTAAATAGTAGTAATTACATGATTATTAAATAATTTGTAAGTAATTAAATGATCATTTAGTGATCATTAAATGATAATTAGCAAGTATTTAAGTGATCATTAAATGATCATTAGATAATAATTAGTAAGTAATTAAATGATAATTACATAATTAACCATTAAATAATTATTAGTAATTGAATCATTGATTAAATAATTTAATAATTAACATTTAATACAGTTAGAATCCAACTAATTAATACAGTTAGTGAACGATACAGAGAAGGCAAAGAACATAGTTTCTAAATCCAGCACCTGAAGTCACCCGTTGCTCCTTGGGTAAAAGTCCATCCAAGCAGGATTGGCCCAGAGCAAGGCCCCAAAGCCTGTCCTAAGTCTAAAGCACCTTCCAGCGGGGACCCACAGAAACGCATCAGAAACAACCAGACAAGTCTGGGAGGAAAAGAGCAAAATCAAGACAAAAACCGCCGTGGTCCCCTCCCCACGGGTCTCACCCGCATCTGAGTCGCCCAGTCCACGACCAAAAGGCAGGCGCGGTTTCTCCCTGTGTCTCTCGGCTCCTTGTGCCTCCTCCAGGCCTCCTTCTGGCTGTGTCCTGCTTCCTTCCGCCCTCAGTCTCCTCTGCAGCTTCTTCTCCCTGCTCTGCTCCACCCTCCTTTTTCGGTGGGGCAGGAAACCTGGAAACCCCCCCCTTTTCCTGAGGACCCCCCTGTGACTATGCACCTGAATAGTCAGGGGTGGGCAGAGGGTCGGCTGCCCCTCGCCAGGGCCTAGTCTCTTCGGGAGGCCTCCCTCCTTTGTGGAATGGCCTGTTTGTTGCTGATGTTGGAGAACTTGGCAAAACTAGGAGGGTCCTCGGGTTCCAGGATAGTCCCCATCTCCCTGTCTTTCCCCTCAGGCCTGTGCTCCACTCCCTAGAGCATCTCATCCTGCTTGGGCCTTTGGCCTTGTGACAAGGCACTCACCTGAGGGCCTCGATTTCTACACTGGGTTAATGGTCATGTTACTTCCCTCTACCCCCACCTCCTTGTGTGAGTCAGGTTCTGGTCTCGGGGCACCCCCTTTCCAGGTTTTTCACTCTTGTCCTCCATCAATTCTTCCAAGGCAGGAAACTAAATTTGAGACATGTTTTTAATTCCAGTTTGGTAGGGTGTGTTTTTTTTTTTTTTTTTTTACTCATTCATTCTTCACTGTCGATAACAGGGGTGTACAGCACCCTCAGTCTCTGCAGCTTGGCCTGACTCCAACCCCTAACCACTAAACCACAGAACAGACTCAGGGATGTCTAAGTCTGGGCCACACTGTATTGTACTGCACCATGATGTGCAAAGAGAAACATTATATGTAGAGCCGAGAGCCTTCATTTTTCTCATAATGTATTTTGATAACAGCTGCTTTTTAAAAAAGATTTATTTATGCCTACAAGAGCTGGGGCACAGGCCAGAGATGCAGCGGGAGAGTGTGAGGACTCACCAGAGACAGAGTGGGGAACAGAACAGGCACAACGACTGAAGTACACTGTTGAGGGGAGCAGTGGGTGAGTCAGGAGAGGTCTGCTGCACCGTGTGGGATGCTCCCTGGCCGGCCAGGTGATGGAACTCTTGCAGCAGTCTGCGGATCACTTCATAGCATGGTGCTTAACCCCCTGTGCCACCAAGGAGGCCCAATAACAGATGCTTTTTAATGTTTGCAATAGGATCCATTTCAGGATCTCCAGGTAAATGACATTTTAGTTGTGATGTATTTTATTTTGTTTATTTTTTACAGATTGATTTAGTTATGAATACAAGAGCTGGGGTGCAGGCCAGAGGTGCGGGGGTGGGGTCAGGGGATACACCGGAGACAGAGTGGGAAACAGAACAGGTGGACTGACTGAAATCCACTGCTGAGGGGAGCAGCGGGGAGACAGGAGAGGTCTGTGGCGTCCTGTGGGTCGCCTTCCCGGCTGGGGATGGAACTGGGGCTCCAGAGGCTACGGATGGCTTCACAGTGCGATGCTGAACCCCTGCACCCCAGGATGGCCCCTGGTCATGCTTTTATGTCAGCTTCAGGTAAGGGGATTTTTAAGAATGATTTAAAAAAAAAAAATCTTACCCAGAAATTCGAGCAACCTTGTTTGCCGTTTCATGTCTAGAGGATAATGTAGGGTCACAGTAGGAGGAGACATTTGCCTGCATCTCAGTGTTTATTTGCGCCCCGCCCCGCCCGCCCCGCCCCGCCCCGCCCCGCGCCGCCCCGCGCACCTGTCTGCACCTGCGCCCCTACCGCGCACGCGCGCTCGCCCAGGCCCGGCTCCTGGCCCTGCTGGCCCCCTATTCGGGGTGAGGTTCAGGCTGGGGTGAGCCTGGTCCCTCAGGAGCCCCGCGGGGGCGCCGCTGCCCTAGACCTGGGGAGCCGGCGGCGGGGAGCGGGCAGGTGAGGCCGGGGAGGGAAGGCGCGAGGGCTCGGGGCGGCCCCAGCGCGCGGGCTGGGTGTGGAGAACTGGAGCTTTGGGGGTTCATCTTGGGGTCGGCGGGACCAGGGCCCCGGGTCCCTCCTGCGCGGGGCCCCGCCGCTGCCCGAGGCGTTTGCTCCCGACTGCGGCCCCGAGGGCGCCCGGGCGCGTCCTGGGCCTCCCTCCCCGCGGGCCTGTGCGTTTCCACCCCGCGGGCTGCGGTGCAGCTTGGGGACCCGGGTTTCCACTTTCCCGGGGCCCGTCCCCGCCCGCCCCGGGCCCAGCCGGCAGGAGGCCGGGCCGCGTCCAGTCTCCCGGGTGCGGGCTCTGACCAGCGGGCTGCGTGGGCCTGGGGCTCTGCTTTCCTCCCGGGTCTGGGCGCTGCCCCTGCCGGGCCTGGGCCCACGTCTGAGGGCGGAGGCGTCGCTTCCCTGTCGCGCAGCCGAGGTGGCCGCTCAGAGCCTGGAAGGGGCTTTCACACCTGTAACCCGCCTAGGAGGCGACTTTGTATTTTTTTATATTTTAAAGATTTATTTATGCGTAGAAGAACCATAGGCCAGTGGTATGGGGGGTGACGATTCACCAGAGACAGAGCGGGGAACAGAACAGGCAGATTGACTGAAGTCCACTGCTGAGGGGAGCCGCTGGCGAGTCAGGAGGGGTCTGCTGTGCCATGTGGGCAGCATCCTGGCCGCCTGGGGATCAAACACAGGCTGCAGATGCTGCAGATCGCTTCATAGGTTGCTTCTTAACCCCTTGTGCCACCAGGGAGGCCCATGAGCCAATTTTAGACTCTCGAGTAGAATCCAGGCTTTCCTGAGCCTTGAGTGACCAGGAGCCCCATGGCCTGCCACACTCCGGCTGCAAGTCTTTGGTTTTCCAAAATGGGTTATTATTACCAGTCAGTGTAGTG